TTCCGCGGGTCGCGAAGCGTCCCGAACAGATCCTTCCCGAATTCGGTAGAAGGCAATTCGGTGGCAACCGAAAAGCCAGAATTCGGTGCACGCAACCTAGCTCGGTGCTATAACTATAATAAAATATAGGAAAGCACCTAGCCTAGGAAATCAAGCAATTCATGCATGCATATGATTATCCTATGCTAGAAATAGCATGATAAAGTAAGGCAAGCAAGCATAGCTGGCATAAGCCATCGTACTCTTACAACGCCGGCTAGCAGTTTCTGTAAATCCCCTCCCTTGTCTACTGCCTCAGCTTCTCGAATGTCAACCGCGTACACGTCAGCTCCTGTCGCTACGGCTCGTTTCATTGTGATCGCGTTAACACGCACTGACGATGACTCAGGCGAGCCCCAGCGAGGTAATGCGATGTTGTTACCGTTCACTCGCACAGTGCAGTCACCCGTCGTCTAGTCGATTCGCGGATTGTGTCGTCGCAGCCAATCACGCCCAAGTAAAATATCGGTTTCGTCCAGGGTCGTTGCAAGCATTTCCCGGCTAAACGTGAAGTTACCCCCACATTGAATCCGAACTCGGTCCACACGTTCCCGTATCGCCAGTGGCGTGCCATTGACCAGTCTTCGTGCTGGTAAGCATCTGTCCAATGGCAGTCGCAGTTTTCGTGCTGTAGCAGTGTTGATGAGGCTGTGGCTTGCTCCCCCGTCTACGAATAGTTTAACTAAGTCAGTCCCAATTTCCCCACTAAGCAGTATAGGGCTGTTTACCGTAGTATCCTCCTTATTCGGTCGGGTGTGGTCGATTGCGTGAACCGGCACAATCACTCGGTGAAGATCGGTTGGGTCGGGCGAGCGGCGTGACGTGTCAGTAGAGGGCTCGTCTGCTACTGACTCCCAGCGTTTCCCTGCTGCTTGGACTGTTTCTGCTGCTCAGCTTCCCCCTTTCCCTTAGCGTTTTTCGGGCATTCGCTCTTGCGATGTCCCGGCCGATTGCACGCAAAGCAGCGCCCTTTGAACGGTGCGCCAGCGGCATTTGCGGCGACGGCACGTATCGTAGCGCCCTCGTTCGTCCCACGAGGCCGATGTCCCCAATTGTTGCTTCCGTAGGACCCCGGTCTCGGTCGGCGGAAGAAATCGAGTTTCTCCGCCATGGCGAGATTCTCCTGAAAATCGGTGACGCCGCGAATCTGGATTTCGTGAGCGATGTCCTGCTTTAGGCCGCCGATGTAGCGGTCGATGCGCTCGCTCTCATGCATATATCCCACCTGCTTGCATAACGCCAGAAACCCGCTTGTGTAGTCTTGGACGGAACCGAGTTGGCGCCAAGTGCGGAGCCTCTGTCGCGCCGCGATTGAAGCCGCAATTGGCTCAAAACGAGCGCACAGACCTGCGCATCACGCGTCCCACGTGCGATACTGGGGCACCTCCACGAAATACGACGGCGCTCAGGGTCCGGTTTGTCCTTCCCGTGTCGGTAGAGTCGCGTAGTCCACCGGCTTCGTGACGATGACGCGCCACCTGTCCATGGCGGGTCCTCGCAGCAACGACACGGCGTAACGGATCTTCGCCGTATCCTCCGAGGCGTAGTTCGCGTCGAAGAAAACGTTCAAAGTAAAGAGCCACGCCTGAACGGTAGGACCACCCCGCTGACTTGGGTCAAAGCATGGCGGACGCTGCGGCTTTAGCAACATCGGCGACGGAAGAGTTGATTCGCCGGCCGGCACTGAAATTGTGACTCGAGGCTGCGTCCTGGCCGCATTCGTCGCGTCGGTGTGTGTTGTGCCGTGGTCTTCGTCTCCGTCATGGTGGACGACGCCATCACTTGCGGCACTCGCGGTTTGCCCCACACTTCCGTGCTGTGATGCCTGTGGTGCGGGTTGAAATGGAGTGCGAAGTGCCTGGGATTGTGCACGTGTGAGGTCGTGTTGCAGGGACGAGCGTTCTGCCGTCAGCGTCGCGATTTCCTCGGCGCTCTCGCGGATTTTTCGCATCAGATCGTTCAAGTTCTCCTGCGTGAGAGTCGTTACGTCGATATGCTCAACCATTTCGAAGGGCGTCAGCTCGACTTAGTCTAGGCGCAGTCGTGGCTGCACGCGTTTACGACAGATTGCGAGGACAGCGGCTCCTACGTGCTAAGGTACGTGAGTCCCTTCTAGTGAAAAAATCAAAAGTTGATTTCCTGGGGTGCGGAGATGCGCGGTCCGGAAAGGAAAGAGGCTCTGAATACCAAGTGTTACGAGTGGAATGAATCGAAGTAGCGAGAATTGCACTAAGGTGTCAAACGAGTACAAAATGTGAGCGAAGGAGTGAGCGAACATTTATACGCGATGTAGGGATAGCATTCCAGCCCGCTAACCGACTGGGATAAAAGGACATGTTTCCTTGGTGGGTCAGCGCTCCCATACCCCCCCAGGACGACACCTGTAGCCCTTGGGGAGACCACTTCGGGCCATTCCAGTGTCCACTTCCAACACTCCCCTCACTGGGAGGGCCCACCACTAAGGCACAGGAAGTTGCCAACAGCAGTAATCGAACCCTGGTCTTCCACACTCACCGCACCATGCAGGGATAGCATTCCAGCCCGCTAACCGGCTGGGATAAAAAGGCATGTGTATTTGGTGGGTCAGCGCACCTATACTCCCCCAGGACGACACTTGTAGCCCTTGGGGAGACCACTTCGGGCCATTCGAGTGTCCACTTCCAACACGCGAAACATGCAAACGGTAACGCGGTGCGTGCGAGCTAGCTAGTGCTACGCTGGAGGCGAGGCTCGGGCTAGTCCCTAAGCGTAGGCCGACACGGCCAGGCCAGTAGTGCGAGGTTTGGTGAAACAGTGCGCGCGAAGTCGCCGAAGCCCCGTTAGCAGTACCGGGCGAACAACGGCTGCCGCTGTACGCGATGTTGCAGGGTGCGCTTAGGAATATCGAGAAAATTCCTTACAGTATTGCATTCACATCATTTAAAAAGGCTTCTAACTTCGCTAACTATCGAATCTAACGACGATCGCGACACATCTAGCTCTGAGGAGATTGATTCTCACATCTTCGCGTGTGAGCATGATCCTCCCTCGATGTCGCAATTGTGACGTGTCCTTAGTGACATTAGTATTACCCCGCCGAAAGCTTGAATGACCATAGCATCACCTCCATTCGAGCATCTCCTCCCCTTCGTATAGTGTGGTTCAATTCGGTTATCACGCTTGAACACGGTTTCGGTAAAATACAAAACTTTCAACGTGTCCATACAGAAGAAACCGTGTGCTGTAGCGAGGCAGGGGCCGAACCTTTGTGCCCCTCCGCTTCCTCCCCTCAGCCTTGGACTTGGCCGGTTTGCGCACAGTTGTGGCGGGATAGTCACGCCCACGCACACACGGACCCGCGCGTGTCAAACTCGCCAGCGGCGGGGCGCCGTTGTACAGTACAGCAGCGGGCGGGTAGTGAGATGAGATGAGACGACAAGAACGAACCGAACGTACACCTTTACAGTACGATGAAACTAGGATGTTTGCGATCGTTCTGGTTCCTGCCGCGTGCATGAAATGACACGACAACGAGTACAGTCCAGATCAGACGGGCAACATTGCGAGCGATGCGATTTTCCAGACGAGCAACCCCAGTTCTGCGCGTGTTGTTGCTCGTGGTACGGTATCTGATTTGGTGTCAACCACCATGTAGCATGTTATCCGCGGTACAGAGGAAGTTTGTACGGTGGAAATTCTGAGTTTGACCATTTGCAATTCTCCTGCATGGAGAAAGCTGGCAGAAGCAAGGTGCACAGAGCATTGGGAAATTATATATCCAGTCACAGATACTGGCTTGATATCACGACTGTTTATCTGGCAATCACGAACGGTCACAGAATCAAGGATCCTATCACGGACGATCACAAAATCAGGAATTCTATCACGGGTAGTCACAATGCTGCCCCACGATCTATCACGTACGGTCACACAATGAAACGCTCCGTGGAAAGTTGAAATTTCACGAGTATCTGTAGAGATTCGGGGAAAGCTATATTGTGCGCGAAAGAAAGTGTTACCTCCGAATAAGTTCGCGATCACTTTCGCAAACTCGAAAGCATAAACAATTGTCTTTTTCCCGCAGCAGATTTGCATAATTATATCCGTCCGCAAAAAGAAAAAAGAAACTTTTTTTAAACCTCGTATCTGTGGACTTTCGGTATCAGCCCTAAACACCTTGTCGTATGGTGTTGGGTTGATGCTCTCTCGGATGGCATGCCATCTGAGCGGGTTTTAGTTTTTTTTTAGGCATGCAAATTTTTGTAACCTTCGCCTCCGCGACTCGCTACGGAATTAACCAGGCTAGCTACGCATATATGACAAGACCAGTCGCCAGTTAAATGTTCATAAGACTCAACAGTTTAAGGCCGCTACAGCTTCTACACCGTGCGTTTCGTCTTGTGACAAAACATGATAAGTTTTTGGGGCAGCGTGTGACTATCCGTGATAGAAATCCCGGATTTTGTGACCATCCGTGATAGATAGCTAGATTCTGTGCCCGTTCGCGATAGCAGCATAACTTTTCGTGATGACGAGCCCCTGTTTGTGACCGCCTATATATTAACCCCAGAGCATTGCTGCAGAGACGGACTGAGGCAGCAGGCTAGTTGTGCCACTGTTACCTGCCAAGCCATTGTGTTTGGTCGTTTGCAGATGCAGTCTCGCACTCGCATCGCACATGATTCGTTGAGTCACTCGTTCGCGAATGGGAGGTCAGGAAGCAGACACTTTTCCGTTTCCCTCCGTGATTCTTGCAAAAAAGTGCTGTGTCTTGTCGATTTGTCGACCGGTGTATTGCGAAAATGAGTATGAGGGAAGCCTATGAAGCTCCACTCTGAAATCACACACCGAACGCAAGCCTCCCTATGAAGCTTATGTAGTACAGTACTAATATTCTCCGCCAGACCCATCCCCTTGGCTTAGGAACGCCTTCTACGTCTACATGATTAATTAATTTCGGGTTCCTGAGTTCCCGTAGAATGATGTCTCGCTTGCCGCCGGCGCCTGCTCTCTCTGGAGCCAGTCGAGGTCATTCTATCCGCGCGGGAACCTACGAGGATGATTCTCAGCACATGCCTGGAAACTATGCTGCTGTTCCTACTATGGCTTACGCGAACCGCCGCTTTTTCGGAGCTGATAGTGCTGACGCCAGCCGCGCACCTGGGGAGAGGTGCGGGCCAATGGCGGGAGGCGGAGGCTTCAATTCCGCGGGCTCCGCGCCGCTGAGGCCGCTTGCGAGTGTGAAGCTGCGGCAGGGGACTAACGAGGACGCGTCGCAGTTAATGCCGGAAGTTTACCGCGTCGGCAGTGCTATGAGGGGGGAGTTTGACGCGCACGTGGCGGCTGATAATGCCGAGAGGAGTTTGAGGGTGATTATTTTCTCTATTGTCATTTACCATTACTGGAACTTAGTACAGGTTTCGGCTTTTGAAGTTAGTGCCCCCATTCGTCCCGTCATGTAGTGAACAAAAGCGTTCTTATCGCTTTTTAGCCCAGAGTAGTAACTCGAGTCTGCAGTTCCTTCTCATCGCTCTCCTCTCCCCCGTGCTCTGTAACTCGTCAGCACCGCTCCCCAACATGACGCCATGTCATCTCAGAATTCTTGAGGCGTCAATATCGAGGCGCCTAAAAAAGAAGACTTCGTGCTCTGTCCCGTCAGCACCGCTTTCTAAAATGACGACATACCTTTAAGCGCCTCAGTTTTCTAGAAGGATTTATTTCTGAGGCGCCTAAATAAATACCTCGTGCTATGTCTGCACCGCTATCCATATGACGACATACCATTTTTTTAGGCGCCTCAATATTCTCGAGGCGTTTCATTCTTGAGGCCCTTCAAATGTAGACCCGTTAATAAACTTCTTTCTCCCTCCCCCCGCTACCTCTGGCTCACGTCCCTCCCCCGTCAAGCAGGCACAACCAAAGTACGGCGGCAGCGCGCGCCTCGACCAGCCACTGTTACTGAACCCCGCCGCGGATCCCGCTCTTACGCGCTATGCCAGCGCGAGAGTCGGCTCCAAGGGTGCTGCGGCCGATACAGCCACGGTTTCGCTCTACCCGGCTTTCGGTGCTGACTCACGAGGCGCCGCGGGAAGAGGAGTGACGCGCGGCGGAGTCAGCCAACGCGCCGGGCCAGATCCGCCGCATTTGCAAGCTCGAGGCGCTTATGAGACTTCGCAAATTATATTCTCGGCGCGAAGTTCGAAAAATCCATCAGCGGGAACTGGAAGTGAAATCGGAACCGAGCTCAAATCAGTGTCGAATGGTTTCAGCTTTCTCACTTTCACTTCTGATGCGGGCGACTCGGCGCAAACTCCGTGGATGAGTCCCGCTGTGAACTTCGCGGGAGGCGCGGCGCAAACTCCGTGGATGAGTCCCGCTGTGGACTTCGCGGGAGGCCCAGGGAACGAGTTGTTGCGGAGGGAGTGCGCGGATGCGGGGGAATGGGAAAGCAGGAACAGCTGGGAAACGATAAACAGCAACCGCGCGGGGTGCGAGGACATGTGGGATTGGGGGAGGGGAAAAGAGGGAGGCGCGGGGGGTGGGGAGGGTAGGTGGGGGGAAGGGGGAAAGGTTTTGGGGGAGGGGAAGGTGCAGTGCCGGATGTTCAGCTTGGAGCAGATTGTACGCGCGACAGGCAACTTCAGTAACGCAAATCTGCTGGGGCGAGGCGCATTTGGACAGGTAATCCGGGGAGAATTCATAAAGTGTGATCTGGTGCTCTCAGGATGATTGTCTGTGAGAATTTTGGGATGATCCATTGGTGGTTTGGTTGTCTCATTGCTACACAGGCAAAGAGATTCCTCCAATTATTTTCATCCTCTTTCCATCAACTTCAGTACAGATCCTTGAACATTTCCTCCTTCTCAAACCCTCATTTCTGCTCCCTCCAGGTGTACAAGGGCCGGCTGCTGGGCTGCAACATGGCCATCAAGCGACTGCAGGGACCCAGCGAGTACAGCATGGAAGTGGAGGTGCTGAGTCTCAGCCCTTCCTCACTCCCTCCCTCACACCCTCACTCCCGCTCCCTCTCCTTCCTCAATCCTTCCTTTCCCCACTTCCCTGCCAGGTGTACAAGGGCCGGCTGCTGGGCTGCAACATGGCCATCAAGCGCCTGCAGGGCGGCGGGTGGCAGGGACCCAGCGAGTACAGCATGGAAGTGGACGTGCTGAGTCGCATGCGCCACCCGCACATCGTGCTGCTCATGGGCCACTGCCCTGACCCCAATGCCATGTGCATTCTCTACGAGTACCTCCCGGGCGGCAGCCTGCAGGAATATTTGGCTGCTAGTGCGAGAAATGGGAGTGGTGCTGGGGGAGAGGGGGTGGGTGATGGCAGCAGGAGCTCTGCAGTGTTTCATGGAACTGGCTCTGGTATGACATCCTGCTCGGTTGCTAATTCGGCAGCAGGTTCAATAGCTGGTGGTACGGTGAATCAGGTCCTGCGCCAGCCCCTGGCTTGGTACGACAGGGTGCGAATACTCTCTGAAGTTTCAGGCGCACTGCTGTACCTCCACCAGCATTCGCCGCCCATTGCGCACCGGGACTTGAAGCCCGACAATGTGTTACTAGATGGTAACCGCATGAGCAAGCTGGGAGACGTAGGCCTGGCAAGGCTCATCGCAGAGGACGATTACAATGTAACCGCACGCGTGCAAGGCACGGTTGGGTATATAGACCCAGAGGAGGTGGCAACATGCGAAATTTCAGTATTATCCGATGTGTACGCGTTTGGGCTGATTGTGCTCCAGCTGCTCATGGGGGAGCCTCAAGTGAAGGTGGTGCATCGCCTGCTGACGGACACAGCAGCAATGGTAGATGCAGAGACGCGTAGAGCGGGGAGGGTAGGAGGGGTGTGCTCAGAGCCGTGGTCTGCTGCTGTGGACGCTGTCTTGGCACGGCTGGATAAGTCTGGTGGGGAGTGGCGTGCTGACGTGGCGCGCCAGCTGGCGGAGATTGGAGTGCAGTGCGCTGACAGGGCAAGGGCGAGGAGGCCTGATTTGCAAAAGAAGGTGCAGCCGGTGTTGGCGAGGCTGGAGGAGGAAGTGAGAGGAGAGGGAGACAAGGGCAGGACGGATGTGGACAACCAGCTGCTGTGCCCCATCTCTCAGGTATGTTCAATCCGGGCTCGAAGATAAACCCATACTCGAACCATCTTAGCAAGTGAAACGTTGCCGACTGTTCTACTCCTACTCTAATATTCGTGTGCTCCTATGCCCTTGCATTTCTCCCCAATTGTGCAGATGCGCATGACAGACCCAGTGGTGGCAGCTGATGGGTTCACATATGAGCGCTATGTGATTGAGCAATGGTTGGAGCGCAATGACAAATCGCCGATAACAGGAGCGCCCTTCTCTCATAGGTTCCTCACCCCCAACAACACACTTCGCATGTTGCTTCCATCTCAGTGAAGAGACATTTAGCGTACAATGCGTATGGTTAGTTTGATATTTCAGTTGTAAATGCGTATTTATATCCAGTTAGGTGGTTTGTTTAGAATAATAATATCTTTATAAGGTGTTTGTTTTGTGCCACAGTAATACGCTTTCTACCCCCCTTTAATTGCGAAAGTCTCCGAACTGCCAGCTCAGGGGCACGTCACCATAGTTGCTGGCATCGTTCACGCTGTTGCATTCCTGTGATTGGATATCATCGCCACATCCCTAGGGTAACAAACATCTGGCGTCGCTCTGGTGAGTTTCGTCTGGAGATCCATCAAATGAGAGCATGTCGTGCAAACCCTGCGAAAGTTCAGCGCAGTTCGCTCGTGTCTATCCGAACATAAGAATCCAGTCAGCAGATATCAAGGGCTTCGTCAACCAGTCGTCCTCCAGTTCCATATCTCCTTTTTGTACAGCTGATGCTCACCCCATGCGCGCGAATTTGCCTTGCGCCGGATGGACACGCTGCACCCGAGGTTGTTTCCCCAGCTTCATGCACCCACATTACAAGCGCGTCAAGCAGAAGAGACCGAAGTCAAGCAGAAGAGACTTAAGTCAAACTAGGTAACTAGGTAGCAGGGTCTTGTTTATAAGCACATGCGACATCTTTTTAGCTAGCTGCGAAATTGACGAACTTATGCGAAACGCACGATACAGCTTATATGCCCCCTTCGCAAGGCAACCGGGAGGGGCTCAAACAGGCATCAGGAGTACACTTTTCCCCGAGATCTCGCTGTGTTGGACTCTCAATCCCTATTCTATAGCCTAGACCCTGCTCAATAGCTCTACAGAGCCAGTGTGTTCCGTGGTCGGTACCAATCCCCAGTCTTCCTAGTCCCTCTCTTCAGTAATTATTTCTTGATCTCCCTCCGATCTTGAGTCTTGACGCAAGTGGTATACTGTGGCCTCAGCGGTTGAGATGCTGAGCATTGCTCGGTCGTCGGTTCAGGCAGCGGCTTCATGGAAGCTGCTGCAGTCGCCGGAGTCAACAGCGAGCCTTGAATGGAGGCGAAAGGCGACATCGCAGGCCGTCGCACACGTCGCGATAAACAGAAGTTCGCGACAACCTCTCCGTAAGCCTCCATTTCTTGGCATTGTTGAGACATTGTCATGTCAGTGTTGAGTTGACAAGTTTTTTTCCTAATGTTCCTTATGTATGTTACTGCATTTTCATCCGGTTTCAGGAATCTTGGCTATCTCTAGCAACGACTTCCGCGTGGGAACCAGCATTGAGCTCGACGGAGCGCCATGGAGAGTGCAAGGTGTGTTGATGGTGACGGTAGTGGTAACCTGATTTGGTGGTTTTTAAGCAGTTTTCTCGTCCATTGATGAGCTCGCCACTGTAGTTAACTCCATGTCTTCTTTTGCGATTCTTCACTGTTTTCGAACCCATCCAACCTCTTCCGCCGTGGCTTAACCTAAACCCACCTCTCTGTGTCTGGTCCACCTCTGCTCTGCTGGCTGTGCCTAGCATGTGAAGTCCAGCAAGGTTGATAAGGTATCTGAAAATCCCACCGTGCCTTCCCTGATCCTCCGTCTGCTCTGCTGTCAGTGCAGAGTTTCTGCATGTGAAGCCCGGCAAGGGAGCTGCGTTCGTGCGCACCAAGCTCCGCAATTTCATCACCGGGAACACCGTCGAGCGAACCTTCCGCGCTGGCGAATCGGTCAGTCTCGTTCGAGAGCAAAAGCAAGATCAGAACCTCTCAAAACTCTCGTATATCTATGTTTCCTTCGTCCCGTCGGACTGTCTGCAATACCTCCGCCAAGTCTCACATATTGATTCGCACCATTCCATCCGTCAACACTGTCATTCCCTTCAACCGTTCTCATGTTGAGCCTACCCTCCGTTTTTCCCACTTCACTCCTAGTCCTTCGTTTCTTGATCATTTTCCTGGTTCTCTTTGTTCTTCGCGTCTCCTTCCCCGAGCAGGTGGACGAGGCGAGTGTGGTGAAGGACGTGAAGCAGTTCACATACCTTGACGGCGAGGACTTTGTTTTCATGGACATGGTGAGTCGTTCTTGTAAGTTAACTCGCACGTCTGCGAGAATGCGACAGTGAAATTAAGGCATGCTGCGCTGAGAGGTATCGATGCAGCCAGTGTCGGCGGCACTGTAAGGTGCGCTCAGCGGCCGTTGCTGTAAGCGCGGTGTTACCTAATAAGGCGCCTAAAGGCAGTAGCCGTAATGCGGCTTAGAGAGGGCAGCGGTGATGATGATCGTGATCCCAAGTGCCGAACGGCCGTCCGTGTCAAGATGGGCGGCCCTCATCATGTGGCCTCACCGGCGGACTGAGCTGCCCTTTACCGTCAGTTTTTTTAGAAGATGACTTATCTTCTCTTCATTCAGCTCCCTTAGACTATGTATGGACTAAATTATTTTTCTCCAGCGCGGGTTACCATCAAGAGGGATCGTTTTCCGATAAATATCCCCGGCTCCCTCCCGATTGCCAGTGCGGCGATGATGATAACCAAAATGAGAACCTCCGATGCCAGCTGTCACGTGACACGTGGCTGACTGCGTGAGGATAAAAATGATGCGGTTAACTGAGCCCCCGAGTTCCAGTTCCAGGCCTTCGTGCCCCTACCCTATGGTTGTCTCGTGCTCGTTTTGCATTAGTCTCTCAAAAGGTCCCAAGGTCCTCGTGGTGTCCTCCATGTCCTCTCCTCCCCTTATTCCCCGTCTTCGTCCTCTGCTTCGTTTCCCAATCGGTCCCGGATTCTTCCCTGGTTCTCCCCTTGTCCTTTGTGCATCAATCTCGTTTTATTCCCAGGTGACGTATGAGGAGACTCGGGTGACCAAGGCCCAACTGGGCGATAGAGTGAAGTTCCTTAAAGAGGGGATGGAGTGTAATGTGCTGACGTGGAACGACAAGGTGATCGACCTGGAGCTGCCCATCACGCTCAAAGTGAAGGTCGTGCAGACGGACCCGGGTGTCAAGGGCGACACCGCTGGCGGAGGTGAGGGGGTTAGGGGAGAGTGATACGGTGGGAATTGGGAAATGGGCGAGAAAGTGAGAGATCCTGGCGTATCTCCCTTGACGATCAGTGTAAAGGTCGTGCAGACCGACCCTGGCGTCAAGGTTGACACTGCTGGCGGAGGTGTGAGCATGAGGGGAGTGAGCGAGGTGAAGGGAGAGGTTGACGGGAATGTGGATTGGGGCGCCCAAATTGGAGGGACCATTTTATAGATGAGCACGGGAGGAGGGTGAGCATTATAACTTTGTTAATCCTCTTCTCTCCCCCATCCCCCCAACCCCACTCCGCGAGTCAATGCTCTTCCTTCCGCTGCTCTGCTCCCCCCGGGTCCCCATTACACTTGCATGAACAGGTGGTACCAAGCCGGCAATTATAGAGACGGGAGCTACAGTGTCTGTGCCACTATTCATTGAGGAAGGAGAAGCAATCACTGTAGATACCCGCACGGGCTCGTACATGGGACGGGCCTAAATCACACCCCTTTTACTTGGGTCCGATTATTTGTACAAGACATTTTCGCCAGTGAAGAGTAGCAAGCAGTTCTTAATGCCACGTGCTGGAGATCTGAGGCAGTTCTGAGTAGTTGTACATTCCGCACTGCCCTGTTTCAGTTGCTGCTGATTTACAAGACTCCTTATTTATAATGACTGTCTGCAAAATGCGGAATCTCTTCACGCTATGCGTATCAGCTCTAACATGTTGTATGCCTCGTTAGACCCTTTCTCATGAACTGCTAGCCTCCCACACACACCATGCACTCACACACACAATCCTAAATAGCTGCAAAGCTCTGCTTAGGTCAAGTCCGTTCCTCCAGTCACAACCTATACAAGACCCGCTGCTGCCAAAGCTGAAATACCAGTCAAGGACTGATTACATGGAAGATAGCTGTAGCGTCTTGCCAGATTGCCTTCCATTGACCCCGCTCCATATAATCATTCCTGCAGCCACCGCTACAATCACAGCTGCAGCAGGCCAACTCCACTGTACCCACGTCTTGAGGGCGTTTCCTGGTAGCTTCCCCAGCAGGCCCATAGCCTTGGCCACTTGCACTACTGCCGCCGCTGCTGCTACTAGCACAACAGGTGCAACCGCCTTAACAGCAGTGGGCGCAAGCTGGAACGCCCTATAGCTCTCACGTTCAGCTGCTGCTGGTTTCTGTGATGCAGCTGAAGGAGCTACAGAAGCTAGTGCAGGAGTGGTCTTTACGGCAGCAAGCTGCGTTTCCCTGGCAGAGGCACGGACGGTTGTGGCAGGTGCGTGGTGGTGCTGATGGGTGTGGCCGGACAGAATCTCCTTGAGTGCAGATACGGTGTTGTGAGCGGTGGTGGTTACCAGATGGGATAGCTGCTGGGCTCTGTGGTGGGGGACGGACGAACGGGGAGAGGAGCAACTGGGAAGGGTTGGGAACAGTTGGATAGGGAGGGCAGAGGGCACCAGCGGGCAGGGAGGTCGCAACTACCAGCGGTGGTGGATACAAGTGGTGGTGGTTACAAGACGAGAGGGAGGGCAGGCGGGAGGGATAAGAGCAGGGAAGGGTGAGGAGCGAGAAAAGGGGGAGGACATAGGAAGACAGTTGGAGCATGGGTTGTCGTTGTGTGGTACGGTTGTGAATTGTGTCTTTTCTAGCGTGTGCGCACTCCTCTGCTCTCGTATGTGCACATGCAACCCAGCACGTACGGTTGGAGGGGCACATGTGTGCCCACGATCTGGTCAATCGTGTCGTTATCGATGAGACGGCAGTACGTCGTCGTGCATTCCTGCAGAAATTCCACCACGTTCCGCTCTACCTCCACGTGCCCGCCGCCCGTGCCGGCATCAGCAAACCGCAGCACCACCGTCCCGTCCGGGAGCTCTGGTGTTACGCGCGGCGAGGAATGCGGCGGGGTGGGAGAGGGCGAACAGTTGCAAGATATGCGATGCTCGGTAAGGAGAGGACAATACGCGAAAGTGATGGGATACGGGGTAAAGGAACATGGTGTTGAAGCAAAAATATGAAAGTCACTTTTCACCAAACCAGAGAAATAAACGTTTATGGCCCTTCTGGAAGAAATTTGTTTGCCTTTTCGCCGTTCTTGCACATTACGCGGCATTGCGCAGTCGATTTATAACGGCCGGAATCTCGCGTGCTGTCTGAAATCCTTCACACATATTCGTGAAGGTCCGAAGATAGAGATAAACAGTCACAATTAGATACTTAAATAAGTTAATGACTTTCCGTTTCACGTACCTTCCACCCGGTGAAGAATCGCCGCGGGATTTGCTCTGGCCGCCTTCGCGTGACCAGTTGCTACTGCGGCTCGCACTCCACGCCGCACGTGATGATTGGTCAGCACACCCTTGCTTGGCCCACGGCACGTGCTGCGTTGCGTCAGCGCCAGCCCTTGCATAGGGTTCCGAGAAGGCCTCACGCCGGTGCTGCTAACGCGTACAGTGCTTGCAGCGGTGGTGGTGTTGTGCGGGAGAGTGGATTGAACGGCAAAGCTCGAACTGGCAGCATGACACGTGGTCGACGCCATGGCGCGTCCTTATAGTTTATTCCTCCTGACAGACACACTCGCTAAAGCTGATAACCTGGAATTCTCAAGATTGCCTGCAGAGAAAATATGTCCACAACAAGGTCTTCAAGCTAGGTTTCGGTATCGTGAAATGTCAGTGTGAATGGTAGGATATATTTCGCTGTTGCTGTCTTTCCTGACCTAATAGCCCTTGCCCAGAAAGCTCAATTGAGGACGACGTTCACATCTCGTGACGAGCAACTAATCGCGCGCGAATTGCGATTCGGCAATCTAAAATAGAATGGGGTGCTTTGGATTGATCGTTGGGCTTGAAAGAAAAATTTCCTACAATGCCCGTACATAAATATGGACTCTTGCCCTGCACTTCGCCGCCTAGCTGGCTGGTGCACCCTTGTTTTTTGCTGTCGAGCCGCGATGGCGTGTCGAACATTTTCCCGCGCAATCCTCTCCCAACGAGCGGGAAGTTCTGCCTGGGGCTTGCGCATGTGGATTGACGTGAGTCCGAGCTGGAGTCTTAACTGCCGCTTGAAGTTTCCTGATTTGCTGATTTCTAGCCGAGCGATTTCTGGCCACGTCATACCCGTGAGAGCTGACAAGATCCTGAACATTTTCAGAAATCGGATATAGAATATTCGCTGTATACAGACAACCCATAACGATTAGAGAAAGTAAGTAGACCGACGTGAGGTAAGAGCATCATTCAGTTGAATTTAAACAGTTCATTATGAATTCATTTATACAGTCATGAAAACCATGGCCACACTGTCGTGGCCGCTCCTCATCAGTCCAATAGCGCGGATTGAATGAGATACATCAATGTCGCCCCTCGAAACCTGAATCCCCTCACTGATGTGTCATTCTTTTGTCCCAGCTAGGTATTAGGTCGGAGTTATCGTGGCTACGAGGCATTCAGTACTGCATTTACACTTAGCTTCTCGTTCACCTTTTCTCTCAATATAGCGGTTTGTATATTTGCGGTTGGATCGATTCTTCTAGCGTCGTCAGTCTGCTTGCCATCCATTAGTTGTCCCGTACGATATGTTTTTGCCATTAGCCCGCTTTTTCAACATCTAAGTCGTCCTTCGCGAAAGACGACAAGATCAGACACCCATAGATTCGCTTACAAGGTGGTAACATCTCTTGCATCAGCTAGCCGCTGGCGGCAGCACTCGAGCCTCGCGCAGGCGGGCGTCGCTCGCCGTCGCCGCATCGCTGGGCGACGTCGCAGGCGATGAATTCGGAAGGCAGCATGGAAGGATCGTCGGCGGACGACAAGACTCCGCGCGGGCGCAACGTGGCCCACGCGCGCGGGGCCAACATGGGCGGAACGTTCCCCATGCGTAGCCCGGGGAAGGCGGGGGCAGGCGGAGGGCAACAGCAGCACCAACACCGGGATAAGAAAGGGCATCATCATTACCACCATTCTAAACATGTGCGATTCACTGCGCTGCATTTTAGGAACCAGTCGTTTGTCAGTTGCCATCTCGTCATTTGCCATCTGGAATCTGGACCGCGAGCGGGGCTCCAGGATTCTCTCAGACCAATGGTGCAACGATGTGTTTCGTAACCGATTTTTCGTCACCTGCCTATGCGTCTCCCTTGTGTCTGCGTCCCTAAATTAGGTTGCAATCGCTCTCTTTTCTTACACCTGCCTCAAATCCCGTCCCATCCCTTCACCACTTTCATCCCCTCCTCTCTCCCCCCCGTCCCCCACCCCCCTTCCCTTTGATTCCCCTCCCTTGCTTCCCCACTCCCACCCCTTCTCCCACACCCCTCTGTACCTCTCCCAGAATCTAGGCACGCTGCAGAAGCTGCTACCGTGGGTAACCATTGGGTTACTCTCCCTTATCGTCTTTTCACTTGCTTCCCTACCCCTCCTCTCGATTCCCCTTTGGCCCCGTTCCCCCTGCGCTCTCCATCCAAACCACCCAGAATCTAGGCACGCTGCAGAAGCTGCTACCTTGGATAACCATCGGGTTACTCTCCCTCATCGCCCTCGTCCTGCTGGGCTCCGCACTTTTCCCAGGGTAATTTCCCCTCCTCGTTGGGCACTTGCAATGTTTACCGTCATGCGATGCTTTTCTCCACGCATTGTTTCCCTCCCCAGCACTCAACTCTGCAACCCCAATTCCCCATGCCATTTCCCGGATATCCCTGATTCCCTGTGCCACCGCCCCACAAGGGTTTGATGCTTGTAACCCGGATTTTTGCCTGCTTCTTTCCCCTATTTTTCCCACCCACCTCATCCCCCTCCCACCCCAGCTACATCTTCATGTGTCCCGAGACCATCAAGCCATTACCAGAGCACCGTGGGAATCTCAAGAGCAACTCAGCCCAGGGCTTGACTGCTTCCACTCTCCCTCTCCCACCCCTCCCGCCTCCCCCTCCTCCCCCAGTTACATCTTCATGTGTCCAGAGACCATTAAGCGGTTACCAGAGCACTGTGTGAAGCTCGAGAGTGACCCCGTGCAGCACGACTGGGTCTCCGCCGTCCTCCCCTTTGACTGCCTGCAAGCTCCCCAGTCCTCCCCCGTCATCGCCCACCGAGTAGACGACGTCAAGTATGACTTCTTCCTGTCTCTGCTGGACTTCCCAATTTCTCCCCTTCCCTTTCCCCCCCTCTCTTCCTTCCCCCCTCCCTCCCCCTCCCCCCTTCCGCTCCCCCCTCCCCCGCACCCCCCCGCACCCCCCCACAGCTACATCTTCATGTGTCCAGAGACCATTAAGCGGTTACCAGAGCACTGTGTGAAGCTCGAGAGCGACCCCGTGCAGCACGACTGGGTCTCCGCCGTCCTCCCCTTTGACTGCTTCCAAGCGCCCCAGTCCTCCCCTGTCATCGCCCACCGGGTGGACGACGTCAAGTATGACTTCTTTTTATCGTTGCTGGACTTTGGAACGAGGAGACGGCCGAATAGGAATATGGTTCGGCTGATGGAGGACCGGCCGTTCCTGAAGCCGGAGCTCGCTGTGGCCATGCAGGTACGGAGGGGTTCGGGAATGCGGGTATGGGGAGGGGTTTGGGAATGCGGGTATGGGGAGGGGTTTGGGAATGCGGGTATGGGAAGGTTTGGAAGGGTACGGAGAGGTTTGGCAATGCAGGGATGGAGAGATTTGGCCATGAAGCTATGAAAAAATATATTGATCTTGGCAAGTGGACTGCTGTTTGAGGAGATGTTGCGTGGCTTTCTCTTTATAAGAAAGTGCAGCTTGCCTAGTGTGCGACCCTAGGCTCCCTCCCTTCGTCCCCTTTCACCGCAATATCCCCGTCCCCACCATCCACCTCTCTTCCCCCCCTTCTTCAGTCGGTACTCGAAATGCTTATTGAGGCCAAGGCCGTTCGCCCCGACTCCCTAGTCATTGACGCGGGGGCGGGCATAGGGGGAGCAGCCTTTGCAGCAGCAGCTATGGGTGTGCGCGTGTTGGCGCTCGACCCTGTGCTGGCAAACGTGCTCAAGATGTGCGACGCGGTGCATTTGAACCGTGTGTCGAAGCGCGTGAAACTTCACCTGGCTGCTGTCTCGGACAGCGTGGGCAACATCACCATTCACAATGTAAGTTTGTGAACCCGCACCGACATGATCATAAGGTAAGGTTTGGGCGTGCGCATGTTGGCGCTAGACCCTGTTCTGGCGAACGTGCTCAACATGTGTGATGCGGTGCATTTGAACCGTGTGGCAAAGAGAATGAAGCTGCACCTTGCTGCTGTCTTGGACAGTGTGGGCAACATCACGATGCACAATGTGAGTATCTGAGCCAGCATGAGTACTCACAAAGGGATTAAGCCTCTGATGCGCAGGGCTCGACCCTGTGCTGGCCAACGTGCTCAAGTGCATTCGATTTTACCTTGCTGCTGTTCAGATACTACAGGCAGCAAAACCATCCACAACGTGAGTCTGTGAACCAAACAGCACCATTCGTAACACTAGTCTGTTGATGAGATTCAACCTGTGCCGGCTAATGATGCGGAGGTGGTGTCGGCCTAAAAGTCACCCAAAAGTCTCACATCTTGCGGGAGATGTGTGACTTTGGGTTGACTCCAACGCCACCTACCCTGCACCACCCCTCCCTTTCCGTTGCCCCTCCCACCCAACCATAATCAGGTCATATCCAACCATGATCAGATCGTACACAGTGTTGTGTTAGCAGCAGTGCCCCATCTTCCTTGTTCCTTGCATCTTCCATCACAGACATCTCTCGCCCACCTGTTCCCCCATCATCCCTCCCCACCCACCCACACACTGTCAGATCCTATCCAATCTTGAGCACAGTGCAGTGACAGCAGCAGTGCTTACCCTCGCATCAAAAGATGCCCCTGTCATTCCCACCACAGTGGAATCCCTCCCTATAGACTCCCTCGTTTTACCAGACCAGCATGTAGCTGTACTGAAGGTGACTGTACAGGGATGGGAGCTGCATGCATTTAGGGGTGCTGCTGGGTTGCTCAGCCGCCCGCCAAAGGAGGCACCGTTTGTCCTTTATGAAGAAGACAGGATGTTGTTGCGGGCAGGGAACACGACGCCGGCTGCTGTGAGGGGGTTTCTGGCGGGGTATGGCTATAGTGAGTGTGACCAAGCACATGGGCTTGTGCACTGTAGGAAAAAGGGTTCTTTGCTAGACGCATAAAGTACAAATGTGGTTAATACTGTGTATTGTAGCCAGTAATTGGTTTGGGTGACAACTGCTGTTTTTAGGAGGTGCCATACTGTATATGAATACACTTACCAATATTATCGGTACTTTTCTGGGTGTGTGCTCCATGTACCAGAATGTGGACTGGAGCAGTAGCATACTCTAACAAACATTCCAGGTTTCAGCTGTAGTTTTGGGGTGATTCCAGATATGTCCAGCCTACAGGGTCTTGTGGGTGTTCGTGAGCTTTTATGTTGCCATCGTCCCAGCGTGGGGGTCGTGTGAGGTTCTGGATATGTGTTGATGGGCTCGTAACTCGTTTATCTCATCTAGTTGTTTTTCCAGCAAATGCGCATGGTTTGTCATATTAATTCAAGGAGGTCCAACCTTCGTTCTAACGAGTATAGTTGACTCGTCTCATCCTCCTTCCTACACTGTTGACAGAGGCTGTCAGTACCCACCACCCTTGCTCGTTCCAACAAACACGAAGGCTGTACTTTTGGCAAAGCCGTTACCGACGAGCTAGGCCTGCCCTCAGGTTTGTTGGTGGTGGTGAGATTCACCTGAGATGTTTCTGCTGCCCGACAATGACTTCAAGGAAGGGCTCTCCTCGAATCTTTCAGGGTCAGATGTTTTGAAACCGTCGCTCCAATACTTCTGCAATTCCTTATCATCCCATTGGTCTCCAACGACTGTCTGTTATTTCGCTCGCTGCAAACAGCTCCCTCGAGCTTCTGTCAGGGCAGGGGGGGATGCTTGGGTTGCATTGCGGTTGGAAACTACGTTTGAATCCCGCCCAGAAGCAACCAGCAAAATCGACATTGTCCGCTTTGGCATGACGCAATCCGCCAATCTAATCATGGTCAATAAACGCCAGTGTGCCATCCCCCGTCAACAGTTGCTATCTGTCAACACGTTACGTCGCGACAGTGACCAACGTCCACTCTCAACGACTCACGACAGATTGCCAGCTGGAGTGCAGTGAAAGCAACCAGCTCAGTATGGTAACCAGCTTTGGCTTTTTTAACAACCATTAGCAAGGCCGCTATTCTTGTTGCAAGGCTACCCTATCGACAAGCACAAGCACCAGAAGCAGAAATTGAGTGATCGATTATAAGGGTGTGTAAATTGTTACGACCAAACGCTATGGTCGATTATTTGGGCGTTTCTGGCGTTGTCCGCATGTTGTTTCACAGGGTCCGAGCACACATGTGGTTTCACAGCACAAACGTCGTTGCGGATTTTCGGCCACATCGACCCCATACGAAAAGCATACGGGAATCCATCCCCATAAATTCTCCATTGTTCGGCAAAAACAACGACGAACGGCCTTTGACAGAGCCGACCTCAACAAAATCACGAGGTATGATCGCCTGAATTGTCTATCTTCCTCACGTGCTTGGGCATCAGCAATCACAATAACAGCAGAAAGGATAACCGGGGTTTGAACTGACCTGACCACGCTTCGGTCTTATCAGAATTTATGGCTCGAGTCAGCAGCGCTGCTCCTCCAATTTCCCGCTCCGCATGCAAGCAGAGCTGTGCCGCAAATTCCTCCCCCTCCTAAGCATTTTCCCCACGCCGCAAATCTTCGGCATTTTCCACCTCAAAATCCCTCCACCGCGATTTTCACCTGGAAAAAATCCTCCGCATCGCACTCACCACCCTTGGATCCGCATTTTCCCCACTGCACTTCACCCGCCACTTCCATCCTTCCGTTACGTCTTTATGTCCTTGTGGCATTCCCTGCCAACACACATTCGATGGTCGTTTTCGCCTCTGTATACACATGACTCTGACGGCGACAACCTTACGCGTGAATTTTGTTTTTGCGATCGAGATAGCTCAATCACAGTAACGACGCGTGATTTCGTTCTTCCATTGCAGTGATTCCAGGCTTAGGAATTTGGAAGCCACGGCTTCTAACAAAATCGTTTTTTTCTCGAAGCCGACACTGGAGCACGATTGCGAGTTGGGCCAAAGAACAGAGGTATTGTCATGGCGCGGCCAAACGATCCGAGACATCAATTCGCGCATTTCGGAATCGGCGAGCTGCTTTCGCGAATGTCAGAAAACGTTACAGAAAGTGACGCGGGCGCATCCGCCGCGCTCGCCTCCTCCGGGGCCGCGAGGCGCATCGCGGTGCGGCTGCTCATCGGAGCCGGCGGAAGCGGCAATCTTGGAGGAAAGTTGAGCGGAAGCGGCGGAAGCGGAAACTTCGCAGCACTTTCCGGTCCCGTAGGGGCAACTAGTGGGGTTACCAGCATTGCCAACAGCAGGCGTGGCGAAAGATCCATCGCTAGCGAAACCCCCGCCGCGGGCGGCGGAAGCCCAGACAGCCTCGCGGGATGGGTATCGAGTCCAAAAGATCCCCGCAGGAGACTTTCGCAGAAGTCTGTTTCTGAGAGCTCGGAGCGCGGCGCGTCTTCCGGGAAGAATGGAAGGAGAGGCCAGGCGAGCGCGTGGGAACAATGCGACGACCTGATGGTTGATTGGCTGGGCTCCGTGGAGGAATGTGGATCCTCGGACGAAGCTGGCGGAGCGGCTGGGGGCGCTGCGCAAGTCGCCGCTCCGCGGCGTGGCGCGCAGAGCGCGCAGGAAGAGGGCCGAGCGGGAGCCCGCGGGGCTCCGGGGGTGCAGGACGAGCGCGAGAGGCAGCGGGAGCGGAGCGGGTTGGACCGGCGGAACTTATTATCCATCCCTCGCGTCTGCTCCGATGAGATCGCGCCGCGCCACCTTTCTCGCACGAACAGCTGTATCGATCATCCGCGGCCGGTCACGGCGCAGCGGGAGAAGCCGCGCAGCAGTTTTGACGGAGAGCGGGAGCGCGAGAGGGAGGCGGAGCGGGAGGAGAGGGGGCGAGTGAAGGGCGGAACGCGCAGAGGGGGAAGCGCAGCGGCGAACGCGAAGGGGGAGAGCGGAAATTTGTCGCGAACGTCCAGCTGTATGTCGGTTGGCGGCGACGAAGTTCGGCGACTGGAGAACGAAATCGCGGTCTTGCGGCGGCAGCTGGTAACTGTCGGCCAAGCCAAGACCGCCTTTGGCAATGCCGGTTCGGCAAGTGGCTCGGGCCAAGCCAGACCGTGCCAGCATTCCGGGCCTCAGGCCGAGGCTCGGTCACCAGAATGGCAGAGCATCGCGATGGAGGTGGTGGAACTAAGGGGTCAGCTGGACGAGTTGTCCGAAGCTAACGGACGCTTAACGGAGCTGCTTGAAAGGAGGACGCAGGAGCTGGTCGCGACAAAAGAGGAGCTGATAACGGCCAAGGAGGAGCGCGACGCGCTGGCCAAAGAAATGGAGGCGCTGCTCGAGTCCCTGTCAGCATCGCCGCCTGCTGACGTGGCAAATACAGGCATGAGCGCCTTGCAGCAGCAACAGCAGCAGCAGAGGGTGCAGCAGGCGGAAGAGGAGGCACGGCAGCTGCAGGTACTACTCGAAACGGCCATGGCGGAGAGAGACATGGCTGTGCGCCTTGCTGCCGCCACAGGGAGACTCCCTGCGGGGCTCATTCCATCTACCAGCGTTGGCAGCATCGCCCGTTCATCCAGTGAAGAGCCGTCGCCTCGGCTGCGTTTCACTCCCCTGGACGTCCGCTTCCGCACGTCAACCCTCAACTCCCGCTCCAACTCCCCCTCGCCGGCTACTTCCTCCTCCCCCATGCTCCCCTTTTCCCCTTCCATGAACTCCTACTCTCCCTCCGCCTCATTCTCGCCTTCTGCCGCCTCCTTCTCGCCCTCCTCTTTCTCCCCCTCCAGCTCTCTTACAAACTCCCCCTCATGTCTGTCTCCCGCCAGCCGCCCGAGTGCGTACACACCATCGCCGTTCCGCTCACACAGCGAATCCAGTTCGGGCAACCGTGTTGACACCATAGCCAAGTCGTGGCTTGGCGCCGAGCCTGCAGGGCAGCCTCGGCACGGGATGATGAGGAGCTCGAGTCGGGGCCTGGTGACATCAGCCATACCAAGGATGGACCCTGGTAGTCCCTCTGTTAATGCTGGATGGAGGGGAGCGGCGAGCGGGGAGGTGCATGTGGGGAAGGGGCACCTGAGGCGGACTTCAACTGCAGGAGGTGCCATTGAGGCAAGGCGTGTGTGGGAATCGCGATCGCCCATTTCGATGAGCCGACCCGGAAGTGCCGATATAGGTGCGCTGCAACAAGGGGCGGAGCATGCTGTGGGGAGCAAGGCTGCGGATAAAGGGGCGAAGAAAGGGGGACTGAAAGGCATACTTTCACGCAAGTCTAAGCAAGTGAGATGGTCGTATGACTTCGACCAGGAAGGCGGTTTGTGAATAAAAGCTCAGGAAGCGTGACAAAGGTCATGGTTCCTATACCTTTTTGGCAGCTGCACACAAGAGATGCAGCTGCTTTGATATCCTGACTCCTGTACCATATATTCGTTTGTTTGTTTACTGATGATTTCATTAATTTGTTTTTACACTGTTTCTATACATGCTGTGGACGAAGACTTGTTGATGCGTGTATCCAAAGGCAATTCCCCTATAGCGAACACTCTACACGGTTCTCTCCATTTTCGACCTCCAACGAAATCGCAAGGGGGAAATCAAGCGGTCAGGCCAGCATCACTGACGTGTCAACTTCTCGCGCAGACGTCACATCCTAGTCAGGCCATGCTGGATCCAAGCTTCCCCTAAAACAAAGCGCTTCGGAGGAAGAGGTCAAACTTCGAGGTTAACTAGAGAATTTACTCCTTCGTTTGAACTTCGCGAACCAGCCTCGTGTAACTTGTTTCCTTTGTGCAGCAATATTCGCGAATTCCCAAGCAAGGCAGTGCACCATTGTATCCCCATTTGCGATCTTCTCGCCCAACATCCTCAACTTTTCGCCCGTCAGTTGATTCTTGTAGCATGCATCTGGGCAACAATCCCCACGATGAGACCAAAAGCTCCGCGCTGGGCATCTGTATCCGCAGTATTACATTCCGTCTCGTTCCCTCCGCCTCCCTCGCTTCGTCTGACCCGCTTCGCCTGCTCAACCGTTTCGCATGCGCCAGTGGTTGCGCTGCGCTTGCGAGTCACTTGGAGTTGCCAGATTCTCACAGATTCTTCGCGCGGGTCACCATTGAGAAAATTCGCAAAATTTGTTACAGGCGACGCGTGCGAAGTCATTCGCAGCTACCAGACCGATAAGCGCTAGGCTTCCAGTGCGCCATGATTCTATGGGTGCTTCAAGCTCGAGCCGCGAGCGCACGGGCTCGCGTACTCGCGACGCGTTCATGGTTCGGGGTTCCGGTTCCGCCTAGAGGCGCGGGAGTCTTTCCGCGGTCGTCTCGGTTCCGCGCATCCCATCACTCGCCCGCCTCCGCGTCGCCGCCCTCTGCGGGATTTGCGATGCCCCAGGCGACCCTTGACGCCGGGTTGGGCAGTGCTTCCGCCACTGCTGCTCCCGCCTCACGCGCATGCCCCTCCGCCGCCGCCTTCTCCGCCATCCCCGCTTCCGCCCGTTTCTCCACCGTCACTCGCGCCCCTTCCGCTGCCTTCTCGCCTGCTGACGCATTCTCCTCCGCCGCCACTGCCCCCGCCGTTTCCTCCGCGTCCCCCGCTTCCAGCTCGTCCGCCGGCGCTTCCGCCGCTCCCCGCGCCCCCCCCGCCCTCGTGCCCATCTCGACGGTCCTCGTGGCAAATCGCGGCGAGATCGCGTGTCGCGTGATGCGCACTCTAAAGCGCCTCGCGATTCGCTCAGTGGCCGTGTACAGTGATGCGGACCGCGACGCGCTCCACGTGCGATCCGCTGACGTGGCGTTCCGCGTGGGGCCCGCCGCGGCGCGAGAGAGCTACCTGCGGGGCGACGCGATCCTGGAGATTGCAGAGCGATGCGGGGCGCAGGTGAGTTGTTGGAGAGGGGAGAGGGATGGGGGCATGTGAGTTGGTGGGGAGAGGAGGGGGATTCAGGTGCGTTTGGGGGAGGAAGAGAGGGTGTCTCTCAAGGCCATCCATTCACCCCATGTCATGCATACCCCTCGTGGTGAGGGCTTTCTCTCGGGAAGTGACTTTTGAGTCAACTCGAAAGAGTCGTGTGCAATTGTAACGAGGTGACTTTTGAGTCGACTCAAAAGAGTCGTGTGCAATTGTAACGAGGTGAGTTTTGAGTCGACTCAAAAGAGTCGTGTGCAATTGTAACGAGGTGACTTTTGAGTCTACTCAAAAGAGTCGTGTGCAATTGTAACGAGGTGACTTTTGAGTCGACTCAAAAGAGTCGTGTGCAATTGTAACGAGGTGACTTTTGAGTCGACTCAAAAGTCACCCCTCGTGGTGAGGGCTTTCTCTCGGGAAGTGAGCGCGGCGTTTGCTGCTTCTGACCCCAAGGCCTTCCATACCTCATGCATCCCCCCTCTCTCCTCTCCTCGCTCCTCTCCCCTCTTCCCACCCCCTCTCCCCTCCCCCCCCCCCCCCTCTCCCCCGGTCCCCATCCCTATCAGGCCATTCACCCCGGCTATGGCTTTCTCTCCGAGAATGCTGACTTCGCTGCAGCGTGCAAACAGAGGGGCGTTGACTCCATTGACTCTCCCCCGCCCTCTCTCCCGCCTCCTACTCTCCCCCCTCTTCCCACCCCTATCAGGCCATTCACCCTGGCTATGGTTTTCTCTCCGAGAATGCTGACTTCGCTGCAGCGTGCAAACAGAGAGGACTGGAATTCATTGGGCCGCCGCCAAGTGCTATCCGGGCGATGGGGGACAAAAGGTGATTATAGGACGTGCTTGTAATGAGTGTAAGCCATTGCCTGCAGACAGAGGGGCGTAGAGTTCATCGGGCCGCTGCCAAGTGCTATCCGGGCGATGGGGGACAAAAGGTGACTAAAACGAAGGACTGTAGTGAGTTTGCTTGTACTCGAAGAATCGTCAGCCTCCCAGAGAACGGTGTGTTTTTAGTGAATGGGGTATTGGATGTGCTTGTACTGAGTGTGATTTGAATGTGCTTATACTGAGTTCTACTGCGACCATTCCATGTCTCCACTCTCCAAAATCCCCCCTTCCGTGCCCCCCTCCTCCTTCCCTTTTGCTCGGGTCCCCCAAACCCCCCCTTCCGCCCTTCCCCCGCCCTTCACGCCCTCCAGTGCGGCCAAGGAGCTGATGACGTCAGCAGGGGTGCCGGTGGTCCCGGGGTACCACGGCGAGGACCAATCAGAGCGCTTCCTGCAGGAGGAGGCGGGGCGGATCGGATACCCCATTCTGATCAAGGCCACTCAGGGGGGCGGGGGCAAGGGCATGCGCATAGTGCGTCAGCCTCAGGACTTCCTCGCCAGCCTGGCGAGTGCAGCGAGGGAGGCGGCAGCATCGTTTGGCAATGGACGGGTGCTGCTGGAGCGATACATTCAGAGGCCCAGGCACATTGAAGTGCAGGTGGGTACGGTGATAGGTTCGGTGGATCTGGTACGGTGGCTCAGGTTCGATGACTCAGGTTCGATGACTCAGGTTGCCGACAGCCTGGCGGCGTGGTGCTCGGGTGTGAGAGGGACTGCAGCTGGTGCACGTGACCATATGGATGCCTTGTCGTTTTGTTGCCCTTCCTTCCCTCCATTTTCCCTTCCTCTCTACCCTCTCCACTCACAGGTGTTTGCAGACAAGCACGGCGATGTGGTGCATCTGTTCGAGAGGGACTGCAGTGGTCTCTGTGCCTTCCCTCTCTCTGCGTTCATCTCTCTCTCCCCTCCCCTCTCTCCCCTCCCCTCTCTCCCCTCCCCTCTCTACCACCACAGGTATTCGCAGACAAGCACAGCAATGTGGTGCATCTGTTCGAGAGGGACTGCAGCGTGCAGCGGCGGCACCAGAAGATCATCGAAGAGGCTCCCGCTGTAAGCTCGCACACAGGCAGCACCCACACGTGTAGGCACTCACCTATTCAGCACGCACATACGCGCCCGCACATAAGAGCTCTTGATTGCGCTGCAGCACGAGGAGAGACTGCAGCGTGCAGCGGCGCAGTCCCTCTCCTCGTGCTGCAGTCCCTCTCAAACAGATGCACCAGAAGATCATCGAGGAGGCGCCCGCTGTAAGCACACATCCGCTTCTCTCATACTAGCAGGGCTGTACTCGTGGGTAGGCCGTTTGAACGGCAGGAGGACGCCTTGTGTCAAGCCTAAAAACACTCAATTCTCTGGTTTTGAGGCGCCTCAAAACTAGAAATCTGCACGGAAGTGGATTGCACAAAGCACGCCTTGTGTCAAGCCTAAAAACACTCAATTCTCTACACGGAAGTGGATTTCACAGCACAAAGCACGTCTTGTGCACAAAAGGCCGTTGTTGCAAGTAGTGATTCTCAGCGCCCCCAATCCGCCCCTCCCCGCCCTATACCTAGCACCTCAGTCTTTGGAGAGAAATATCGAGGGCACCATTCCTCCAAAGACTGAGGTGCTATCAGTCTTTGGGCACCATTCCTCCAAAGACTGAGGTGCTATCAGTCTTTGGGCACCATTCCTTCGACTGGTCATGTTTTACACCATGTGGTTCTTATTCGGGCAGCTAATGGTTCTTGTCGTTCTTATTCGGGCAGCTGGTGGTTCTTGCCGTTCTTATTCGGGCAGCTGAAGATTTGCTCCGCTGCTGTTGACGCTGCTTTTGAGGCGCCTCAAAAGCCTTCCCCTTCCCCAATGCCTTCCCCCCTTATTGCACGTGCTGCCCTACCAGCCGGGCATATCTGAGGAGTTTAGGGAGAAGATCTGCTCCGCTGCTGTTGACGCTGCCAAGGTGGGGTGGGGGGGGGGGGGGGGGGGGGGGGGGTGGAAAAGAGAGTGAGGCAGGGAGAGGGGTTTGGGGAGAGAGTGGGGCAAAAGGGGTAGGGGTGGATAAGCAGAGAAGGGAGTTTAGGGAGACTTTTGAGTCGACTCAAAAGTCGCAACAGGGGTAGGGGGGGTTTTATCTCAAAACAGAGAAGGGAGTTCAGGGAGAAGTTTTTCTCCGCTGCTGTTGACGATGCCACGGTGGGGTGGGGGGGAAAGAGTGGGGGACCGGGGAAAGGGGGAATAGGGGGACAGGCGGGGGAGGGGGGAGGGGGAGTCAGGGAGTTCGGGGAGACGTTCTGCTCCACTGCTGTGTGCTTGGGCTTTTGTCACGCTTACGTCACCCTTCCATCCCTCTCCTGGTGCGTGCTTGTGTGCAGGCGGTGGGGTACGAGGGGGCAGGTACGGTGGAGTTCATAATCGACTGTGACACTAACGAGTTCTTCTTTATGGAGATGAACACAAGGCTGCAGGTGAGTGCACCCACCACACCCTCGCCTCTGCAGGTGACGAGCTTGTCTTCTTTAGCCTTGCCTCTCGTTTCCTGGACCGCTCAGACGCGGGTCAGCTGGTGGTGTCAGCGCCTGGACGGCTCAGACGCGGCTTGCCTCAGTACCGGTGCTCAGATGCCTCGTTGTGTTGTTCGGTGCTGAGCCCATGTTGTTCGGTGCTGAGCCCATGTTGTTCGGTGCTGAGCCCATGTTGTTGCCCTGTTCTCACAGGCTCTCTTCCCCTCTCATCCTCCATCATCCCCCCCCTCCAAATGGAGCACCCAGTAACGGAGATGGTAACAGGGCAAGATCTAGTAGAATGGCAGGTGCGCGTGGCACGAGGGGAGCGCGAGGTGCGCTTGCCCAGGGGGACCTTCATCTCACTCTTATCCTCCTCATCTGCTCCCCTCACAGGTGGAGCACCCAGTGACAGAGATGGTGACAGGACAGGACCTCGTGGAGTAGCAGGTGCGCGTGGCGCGGGGGGAGCCCCTCCCCCTCGCCCAGGGGGGCCTCACCCTCACAGGCCACGCCTTTGAGTGTCAACCCTACATCATTCCCCTACCCTGCCCTTCGCTCTCCCCTTCACCGCAGGTGGAGCATCCAGTAACGGAGATGGTGACAGGACAGGATCTAGTGGAGTGGCAGGTGCGCGTGGCACAAGGGGAGCCCCTCCCGCTCGCTCAGGGGGACCTGAAGCTAACAGGGCATGCCTTTGAGGCGCGGGTCTACGCTGAGAACGTTCCCAGAGGCTTCCTGCCGGCTGCTGGCCCGCTGCTGCACCTGCGCACTCCGGAACCCTCTGCTTGCGGTGAGAACGATTGTAACGAGGGGGTGTGGTGACTGTGATTGTAATGAATGAATTTGAGGTGACTGTGCTATCATTCATCCCCTCCCCCCATCCCCCTGTTCCCGTTTCCCCCTGTCCCCTTTTTCCCCCTTCACCTCTCGCCCCCTCTCAGTCCGGGTCGAGACGGGGGTGCAGGAGGGCGATGACGTCAGCACCTTCTACGACCCAATGATAGCCAAGCTGGTGGTGTCAGCGGCCAATCGCAGCGCGGCGCTGCAGCTGCTGCGGCAATCCCTGGGGCGGTACGAGGTGGCGGGCGTGCCGACCAATCTCGCGCTGCTCCAGGCTGTCGCGTGCCACGCGGGATTCGAGCGTGCTGACGTGGACACGCACTTCATTCAGCGCCACCACGACCAGCTGATGACGTCACCAGTGACGTCACCGGCAGCAGGGGGAGTGGTGGGATCAGGGAAGGCAGGAGAAGCAGCAGGGGGAGGAGCGGAGAGGGCCGGGGATGGGGTGTTGCCTCTAAGTGGGGCAGAGGGCGCAGCAGTGGCAGCAATGGTGTGTCAATGTGTGGTGGAGAGATGGAGGGAGCAGGGCCGTGGTGGCTTTTCACTGTCCTCCCCCCATTCCCCCTCTTCCCCCTCTCTCCCCCCTTCCCCCTGGTCGTCCGCCTCTGGGTTCCGCCCCAACTACTTCTATTCCCGCCCCTTCGCCCTCTCCACCTGCCTGGGGGGAGGGGAGGGCGCGGAAGGGGAGGGGGACGAGGGGGAAGATGGGGAGGAGGCGGAGGCTGGGGAAGGGGGGGCGGAGAAGGGGGCGGAGGAAGCGGGCAGGCAAGGGGCGGTGGAGGGGTGGGTGAGGTATGAGACGGATGGGGGCTTCACGGTTGGGCTGGCGGATGGGAGACACGTGGCAGCCTCTGGTTGGGTGGTGGATGGGGAGGGCCGGCGGGTGGAGGTGGAGGTGGGGGGGGAGAGGAGCCGCTTGTCGTTCTTCCAAGAGAGCACGGTGAGATGAGGGGGTGGGGAGGGGTTGTATGGGGTAGGGAATAAGGGGCTGGGGAGATGGGGGGTTGATGGGTGGAATATGTGAGGGGGGGGAGAGGACGCGGGTGTCGTTCTTCCAAGAGAGCACAGTGAGATGAGGGGGTGGTGAGGTGAGCATGGTGAGATGGGTGGGTTGGGGCAGAATGGGGAGAAGGGGAACCCTCTGAATGGCTACCCTCAATGTGAGGTCCCACGGGCTACCCTTCTGAATGGCTACCCTGCTACCCTTCTGAATGGCTACCCTGCTACCCTTCTGAATGGCTACCCTGCTACCCTTCTGAATGGCTACCCTGCTACCCTTCTGAATGGCTACCCTGCTACCCTTCTGAATGGCTACCCTGCTACCCTTCTGAATGGCTACCCTGCTACCCTTCTGAATGGCTACCCTGCTACCCTTCTGAATGGCTACCCTGCTACCCTTCTGAATGGCTACCCTGCTACCCTTCTGAATGGCTACCCTGCTACCCTTCTGAATGGCTACCCTGCTACCCTTCTGAATGGCTACCCTGCTACCCTTCTGAATGGCTACCCTGCTACCCTTCTGAATGGCTACCCTGCTACCCTTCTGAATGGCTACCCTGCTACCCTTCTGAATGGCTACCCTGCTACCCTTCTGAATGGCTACCCTGCTACCCTTCTGAATGGCTACCCTGCTACCCTTCTGAATGGCTACCCTGCTACCCTTCTGAATGGCTACCCTGCTACCCTTCTGAATGGCTACCCTGCTACCCTTCTGAATGGCTACCCTGCTACCCTTCTGAATGGCTACCCTGCTACCCTTCTGAATGGCTACCCTGCTACCCTTCTGAATGGCTACCCTGCTACCCTTCTGAATGGCTACCCTGCTACCCTTCTGAATGGCTACCCTGCTACCCTTCTGAATGGCTACCCTGCTACCCTTCTGAATGGCTACCCTGCTACCCTTCTGAATGGCTACCCTGCTACCCTTCTGAATGGCTACCCTGCTACCCTTCTGAATGGCTACCCTGCTACCCTTCTGAATGGCTACCCTGCTACCCTTCTGAATGGCTACCCTGCTACCCTTCTGAATGGCTACCCTGCTACCCTTCTGAATGGCTACCCTGCTACCCTTCTGAATGGCTACCCTGCTACCCTTCTGAATGGCTACCCTGCTACCCTTCTGAATGGCTACCCTGCTACCCTTCTGAATGGCTACCCTGCTACCCTTCTGAATGGCTACCCTGCTACCCTTCTGAATGGCTACCCTGCTACCCTTCTGAATGGCTACCCTGCTACCCTTCTGAATGGCTACCCTGCTACCCTTCTGAATGGCTACCCTGCTACCCTTCTGAATGGCTACCCTGCTACCCTTCTGAATGGCTACCCTGCTACCCTTCTGAATGGCTACCCTGCTACCCTTCTGAATGGCTACCCTGCTACCCTTCTGAATGGCTACCCTGCTACCCTTCTGAATGGCTACCCTGCTACCCTTCTGAATGGCTACCCTGCTACCCTTCTGAATGGCTACCCTGCTACCCTTCTGAATGGCTACCCTGCTACCCTTCTGAATGGCTACCCTGCTACCCTTCTGAATGGCTACCCTGCTACCCTTCTGAATGGCTACCCTGCTACCCTTCTGAATGGCTACCCTGCTACCCTTCTGAATGGCTACCCTGCTACCCTTCTGAATGGCTACCCTGCTACCCTTCTGAATGGCTACCCTGCTACCCTTCTGAATGGCTACCCTGCTACCCTTCTGAATGGCTACCCTGCTACCCTTCTGAATGGCTACCCTGCTACCCTTCTGAATGGCTACCCTGCTACCCTTCTGAATGGCTACCCTGCTACCCTTCTGAATGGCTACCCTGCTACCCTTCTGAATGGCTACCCTGCTACCCTTCTGAATGGCTACCCTGCTACCCTTCTGAATGGCTACCCTGCTACCCTTCTGAATGGCTACCCTGCTACCCTTCTGAATGGCTACCCTGCTACCCTTCTGAATGGCTACCCTGCTACCCTTCTGAATGGCTACCCTGCTACCCTTCTGAATGGCTACCCTGCTACCCTTCTGAATGGCTACCCTGCTACCCTTCTGAATGGCTACCCTGCTACCCTTCTGAATGGCTACCCTGCTACCCTTCTGAATGGCTACCCTGCTACCCTTCTGAATGGCTACCCTGCTACCCTTCTGAATGGCTACCCTGCTACCCTTCTGAATGGCTACCCTGCTACCCTTCTGAATGGCTACCCTGCTACCCTTCTGAATGGCTACCCTGCTACCCTTCTGAATGGCTACCCTGCTACCCTTCTGAATGGCTACCCTGCTACCCTTCTGAATGGCTACCCTGCTACCCTTCTGAATGGCCCCACATTCTCACCCCTTCCTCTTCTTCCACTCTATCTTCATGGCCAGCGCAACCCCACATCCCTCCCCTTTTTCCACCCCCTTATACCCCCGCCCTCCGCCCATCAGCCGGACAGCATCACCACCCACGTGTGGGTGAACGGTCACCACCACCAGTTCGCCTCTCCATGCCCTTCCATCGCCCCCTTCCCCATCCTCACCCTTCCAACCCCCCACCCTCCACACCCCCACCCTCCGCCCATCAGCGTGACAGCACTCATACCCACGTGTGGGTGAATGGACACCACCACCAGTTCGCCTCGCCCTGCCCCTCCATCGCCCCCTTCCCCCTCGATGATCATGATGACTATGATGATCATGCCCATACTTATGGGCATGCCCATGAGCATGCCCATGGGCATGCACATGGGAGGGGCGTGGTGGTAACGCCGATGGCGGGGAGGGTGGTGCGGGTGGCATGTGGGGAGGGCGCATCTGTGCGCAAGGGGGACGTGGTGGTGATTCTCGAGTCCATGAAGATGGAGGTGAGTTGCGCAGAGAGGTGATGAGAGGTAATGTGTGGTGATGTGTGGTGATGTGTGGTAATACTTGAGTCCTGAAGATGGAGGTGAGACCTTTACTCTGATGTGTCTTCATTCTTTGCACGATGAGTTCACCTGTGGCGTGTTACACTTCCCCTACCCAACCGCCCACTTCCGTATTCTCAGAATGTCATATCATCCCTCATCTCAACTCCACGAATCTCCCACCCCATTACTTCACCCCCTTCCTCCCTCCACCTCCTCACCCATCCCACCTGCCACCCCTGTTCTCCGCGCGAGCAGCATTCAGTGAAGGCACGTCAGTCAGGCGTATTGGCTGAAGTGAGAGTGGCAGTGGGGCAGCAGGTGGCAGATGGGATGCCTCTCTTCCGCGTGGTGCCGCCAGAACAAGCAGCATCAGCCTAGCCGTGCTGCTGCCAGTAGTGGGCACTGGGCACGGCCTGGAGGAGGGGTGGGTGGAGGAGGGAAGGGAAGGGGCGGTGGGGCAGCAGGTGGCAGATGGGATGCCTCTCTTCCGCGTGCTGCCCCCACAGCAAGCAGCATCGCCCTAGCCTTGCTGCTGCCAGGGGTAGGCACTGCCTGGAGGAGGAGTAGGTGGGGGACGGAAGGGGCAGTGGGGCAGCAGGTGGACGAAAGCATGCCTCTCTTCCACGTGCTTCCACCCCACCCCAGCAAGTGGAGTGGGTGAGGTGGGAGTGGGTGGCAGGGGGGCAACACGTGCCACACAGCGTGCCTCTCTTAAAGGTGTTGCCACAAGTGGTGGTTTCCTCGCTCTTGCCTCTTTGCCCCTACAGTGGTTAGTGGAGTTGGCACGGTGGGGGATGGTGGGTCGTGGTTCAGTAGTTTGCCGATGGCATCCTGCTCCCCTAGTATCCCCCCATTGTAACTCTGCAGCCTGTGTTTTTGTTCGCTCCAGGATTGTGTTATGGATGAATGCAGGGTATGATTACTGTACAGAGCTATTTGCTAGTGTATATAATGTATTATGTGGTTGTACTCATTTGACAATCTATAACTTCATGGACATTTTGGGGAGAATGAGCTTGAGCATTTGGGCACGACCAGCTGGAGAATATGGTAGATACAGTATGATAAATATCTGGATAATGATATGAGGAAGTCACCGCTGTACTGTGAAATAACTCTTTGATATGCAAGTGTTTCAAGGATATCCTGTGCTCAACAACATTGCGTTTATACATTTCTGCTGAAGGCTGATAGTTCACAGATTTCTCCTTCTCATCACTCACGAATCTCTCAGTACCGAGTTAATCGGTGGAACAAAGAATATCGCGATGCAGGGCGAAAGCAGAGTCAACTCAGTTCAACACGTACGTGCCACGCCACGCCGAGTGGCGAAGCTCCGTGAATGGCGCTAATGGTAACCACGCGGAGTCGTCTCAGTCAAAAGTCTCGCCAAGAATCTGCGAACATCGAGATAGCCGGCGCGTCTCGGCTGCTTTCAGGAATTCATCATGTCGAGCTGTTCGGCAATCGAAATCGAAGAACGTGTTCAGGAAAGATGAAGTGCATTTCTCACAGCAATAAATGTACCACTGAAATCAGTATCTCCTTCACTCAACAACTACCTCCTTCCGCATGATTGTACAGCCTCGCGTCGCCTGACTACGAAGAGTCGACTTCCTGCGCGCCATTTTTTTTTTCCTTAGATATTCTTCGTGACAAAAACTGTGTTGCTGTTAATCTGCTCGCAAGCCCACCTGCCAGAAAGCGAAAACCGATTCTGAAAAAAAGTCCCCCTGTAGCGCCCTGCGCCATAGCAGCTCCCCCTATATCCCCGGCCTCTATAGCTAGCTTGAATCCCGCGGATTCCGCTAGGATTTGACCCTCCCGGCGTCGCAAAATGACTGGCCACGCCAGATTCCTCATCGCCATCGTGCTTCTCTTTTCGTCCACGTGTCAATGCCTCGCGATTCGACGAGCTCACCGTAAGCCATGACCTTACGTCCTGCTATCAACTATCGCCTGCATTTCTTTACCCTGTTCGCACTAATCTCATCACTCAAAGTTTGGATTCAAGAAGCATTCTTCTCCGCATTTTATTCTCACCTGAACATCTCCCCCCTTCCCCCCCGCCCTCCGCCCCCCGCACTCCTCATTGCTGCGCCAATCGCAGCGCGGTCACTCTATATCGTGCGCCTGCGTTCGGCCCTTCCCCTCGCCGCGTATCGCGGCGGAATAGCGAGCTTCTCGGGATGGACGGACGACGACGATGACTCGGATGATCGTACCGGTCCGTCAGGTCTGCGGGCGACAGCGGCGACGGTGGCGCACGAAGCCGCGACGCTGGGCGGCAGCATTCCGCGGCGCGCGCGGCTGAGCATGGAGAACCCGCAGCTAAGAGCATACGCGCATATGCTCGAGACGCAGCAGACCCAAGTCGCGTCTGACGTGGGCGTGATGTCAGAACACATCGTTTACAAGTACGTGGCAGAAACACGTCTAGAGCCTGTTTTTGGAGCCCCATTCCATGGCATCCCTCCCATACTGTTCCCACACCGAGTGGGGTGGGTCTGCTTTCCTTTACATGCCTTCCCTCAATCCCCCTGGACCCTATTCTCCCCAACTCCTGCTCCCCTTTTCCCCATCCACCAGCTACATGCACACGAGCAACGGGTTCGCAGCGGCCCTCTCCCCGCAGCAGGTGTGGCGGCTGCAGCGGCACCCGGCAGTGGCGGCAGTGACGCGCAGCCGCAGAGTGACCCCTCTCACCACCGAATCCCCCACCTTCCTGGGCATGCGCGCCCCCGGGTCGCTGTGGCCTGCCAATGGCGGGCAGGCGAGCGCGGGCCAGGGCATGGTGATAGGCGTGGTGGACACGGGCATCTGGCCGGAACACCCCTCCTTCAGCGATAAGGGATTCTCCTCCTCGAAACCCGCCGGCTGGTCAGGAAAATGCGACACCACGAGCGAGTTCAAGTGCAATAATAAGCTCATAGGTGGCCGCGTGTTCTACAAGGGATTTAAGAAGGACATCGGCGACCCGGACCTGTCTTCAGACTGGTTGTCTCCCCGGGATTCGGATGGCCACGGCACATGGTGTGCAAGGTACGCGGCTTGAATTCACTCAGGCTTTGAGATGTCAATGGCTCGACCTTTACATGTGAGCTTGCATGCTTTAGTCTTCAAATCTTAACCATGCATTGCCCCCCCGTTCAGTCGGGTTTTGAGATGTTACGGTGACTCTGCTCACTCTCTATCTATCCTCCCAACTATCCTCTCCCCCCTCCCACCCCGCCATGCACCCCCTCTGCAGCGCGGCAGCGGGCAACAAGGACGTGCCCATGGCGGGCGGCAAGGCGAGCGGCATGGCGCCGGCAGCGCGCTTGGCAATGTACAAGGTTCTCTGGTACTCTGAAGGCTCTCTCACCGGGACATGGGCCGACATCGATGCAGCAGTCAACCAAGCGGTGGCGGACGGTGTGGATGTCATCTCGATCTCGCTGGGCGGCATGGATAATAAGGAGACCTACTTCGACCACATGCCGTATCTCAGTGCTAACCTGGTGTGTTTACTTACAGAACTGTGTCTGCCATATGCTGCTTCCAGCACACCAGCCATCACCTCGCGCTCACACTTTGTTTGCGCCCCCCGCTCTCCCTTTCTACCTCTCCTTCTCCTTGCTGGTCCAGGCCGGGGTGGTTGTGTCATATGCAGCAGGGAATGCCGGCTCGCCAGGCTACTGGGATCCTGGGTACTTTCGCACAATAGACAACTTCTCGCCCTTCTATCTCACCGTGGGGGCTAGGTGAGCCTCCCTGCCCCTCTTCTCCCCCCCCACCCCCCCCCTCCTATCTCTCTCCCCCTCTCTTTCCCTCTCTCTCCTGCTCTCTCTCATATTCATATAAACGTTTCTCCCTGCTTACATCCCTCTCTCAATCTTGCCGTACTCTCCCATCTGCCTACCCAATTTCTCCCCGCAGCACCATAGGCCGTGGCGGTCTAACCCTCAAGGCCGCAACAGCAGCAGCGGCAGGCCTCAGCAACTCATCCTCCTCCTCTTCAGCCGCCCCAGCAGCCACCGCCCACCCTACCATTGCCGATTTCTCCTCCACGGGACCCCTATGCGACCCTAACACCGACGCCACCGGCGCTCTCCCCACCAACAGCATCTTAAAGCCCGACATTGTTGGCCCGGGCGTGGATCTCTACGCTGCTGCCCCGGGCTCAAAAATCGGCAAGCCGGGCAGCTTCGCACAGCTGTCGGGGACGTCGATGGCGACGCCTCACTTGGCGGGCATTGCTGCTCTCATCATGCAGAAACACCCCTCATGGAGCCCCGCGCAGGTCATGTCTGCCATCATGACCACCGCCAAGACCACTGACACCAGCGGTGCCGCTATCAAGGATTCTAACGGCGAGGCTGCTACTCCGTGGGATATGGGAGCTGGTCACGTCTTCCCACGCAAGGTGCTGGACCCTGGGCTTACCTTCGATGCTCGGGCAACGGCGTATCGGAATTTCCTTGCTGGGCAGAGTATGAAGCAGGCGCAGAGGCACTTTCCGAACGCCAAGCTTACTGCGCTTGCTCCCCGTGAGTTGAACCGTCCGAGCATCTCCATTTCCCGGTTGAAAGGGATGGTGACAGCAACCAGAACGGTGACAAGCGTTGCTGATACGTCCTCCACATATACAGCTAACATCAAGCCTCCCAATGGTGTCTCCGTCACGGTATCACCCGACAAATTCACTATCACTCCGGGTAAGAAGGTCACTTTCACGGCGACCTTCAAGGTGACTAAGACGTCTAACAACACTCAGTTTGGAAGTATGACATGGGTCGATGAGAAAGGGCACTCAGTGAGAATGGTGCTTGCTGTCCACCCTATAAAGAAGTGAGAATGCGTGTGAGTTATACCGTAGCTTGTATATTGTTAGGTGTATTACATGAGTGGGTAAATTACTGTTGCTGTATTTGTTGTAAGTGCCAAACTTCTCAACGCTTCATTAACAGTATGACGTAGGGTGACAATTCTTTAGCAGACGTTGTTATGAGCGGGTGATTATTGCTTGGTACACAAACTTCGCAAAAAAACAATGGCTTCCGAACTCGCACTCCTTTCCCGTCAAACTATGGTTGCGAAATATCAAGATTCAGTTGCATTCTTCAACATGCCGTGAGAATGAAACGGGAATGCACACAAATGGCAAACTGGGGACGGACACTGGGAAAGGTGACTCAGAAAGGCCACTCCATAAAGGATGCGAAGAATTTACCGTAGATTGAAATATATTCTTTACTGACCAACAAGACGGCGCATATGTACATATACATAGTGAGGCACTCAGAACACTTTTCACTCTTCATCGTTAATGAACTTTCCTGTACCGGGGTTAATCGCCGCGACGAAGAAGAACGCGATGCTCGCGAGCAGCAGCGGCTCCAGCTCCCAAACCGGCAGGCCCGTCTCAATATTCAACTGCGCCAGCGCACCCCGCCCCGTCACCACCTCGCCAATCAGCGACGCGGCAAACCCTAGCTGCGCCATGCGCCCCACGAACAGCTCATTCGCCTTGGTGAATCCAAACAGCGGCCCGTCCTCGCTCAGCCCCAGAGCCGACTTGAAGCTCCCGGGCTTCACGGGCGGCCCCGCCGGCTCGTCGTCCACGAACCGCCCGCGATCGCCCAGCCCGCCGATCGCGCCGAGCACGGTGAATGCGATGAAGAAGAGTAAGAGTGGCTCGGCTTCCGTGATCGGAATGCCGGTTTCGAGATTGAGCTGCGAGAGAATACCCTGCCCCGTGACGGCCTCGCCGAGGAGCGACGCGGCGAAGCCGAGCATCGCGACGCGCCCCACGAAGAGCTCGTTGGCCTTCGTGAAGCCGAACCCTCCCGAAGTGCCGAAAATTCCATCCTCTGTTCGTAGCTGCTTCTTAACGGGGACGTTCTTAGAGGGAGCTGCGGAATTGTTGAAGTTTAGGAGGGCGGAGACGCCGAGCCCGCGAGGGGCGATCGGCGCGACAGCCACTAGATTGGGGGTGGAGAGAGCAGCACCCCTAACTGCGGTTCTGAAAGAGAGAGCCGTGACGGCCTGACGCGCAACGAGGGAGGAAGCCATATAGAGTGTGTGTGTGAGAACAGGTCGAAAATATGAGTCTCAAACGAGTTTCTATTGTCACGTCTGAAGATGTGAGGGGTGGTCGTTGCTACGATAATGATAGGAGCTCCTTTCAAAAATATGTGTCTTCAACTCGGTCGAGTCGCGAATTGGAACCCGGTGCAGCTGCTGGAGAAAAGCCCACATGCAAAAATGACCATCAAATTCATCAGTGGGACGTGGACAAGATCTCTGGCTGCCATGCTGGAGGCTGGTGCTTCGAGCTCTCACGCCGAAGAGCTACACGTCACCCTGACATGAGAGCTTTCCATGCTGGCTCAAAAGCGTCTTCTCGCTTTCCAGAATAGAGGCCGAAAATCGTACACATCAGATCAGCGACCTTTCTCGAGACTCCCGAACAAATTGGGACGCTAGTGTTGACCTCCTCTGACCTCATTTGTTGGACGAAATGCCTGCCAGCTCCGCATCCTATGAGCAACATCAGAATTTGGTGCAAGCACGGCAGATAGTTCAATTGGATGATGCAGTGAACATGAATACCATGACATGGATATACGATAATACAATACAGAAACTTAGTGCAAGGAATTTTGCTAATTCCTTTCTGAGGCACTCCATACGCGTACATTTCCAACTTTCTAAGTTCAGGCTAGGTCCGTCGACCTCGCCTTCCGAACTTCCTACGCGTCGCCTTCGGGTTTCCCCAACCCTGAACCTGCACCCAAACTTCGCGCGACTCCGCGACCTCGGCCTAGCTAGCTTTGCTATATTATGCCTAGGCCCCGTTGTTTGCTCAGTAGTTGTAATCACTTCCTCGTTATTGAATACTGCGCACTCTTCTTTCGTACAACCCATAATAAGACAGTTCAGTTGGATGATGCAGTGAACATGAATACCATGACATGGATATACAATAATACAATACAGAATCTTAGTGTTACATAATTTGTTTTATCTTGTTGATGATATTGCCTGTACAACAATAGCAGATCTCACTGCGTGCCCATTATCGTCTTCCCAATGAAGGCTTCCAAACTGGAAGGTCTTGTACGGTCTAGTGACGTTCAACACCACCCGATACGTGACTGCTCTTCCAGGAGAAATGGTGAAATGGTCTGGCTGAACTGTAACCCTAACTCCTGGAGGCTCCGTCACCCTTGCTTTGTACGTGCAGGTCGAACTCGCAACGCTCACCACCGTTCTAAACACATCCACCGACCCTTTCAACCTCGCCACCGAAATCGTTGGCCGGTTCAAATTCCACGCCTTCTTCCGGTTAAGTTTCGCCCTTGGAAACTCCTTCTTTGCTGCCCGATAATCCTGCCCAGCAAGAAAATTCACATAAGCCCATCTCCGGGCATTGTAGGTCAGCCCAGGGTCCAAAGCCCTCTGGGGAAACACATGCCCGGATCCCATCTCCCAAGGGGTAGCAGCCACACCACGCTCATTCAAAATTCTCCTCCCCTTGGTGTTCCTAGTTATGGCAGTGGTCATAATGGCGGACATGACCTGCGCGGGGCTCCACTTGGGGTGCTTCTGCATGATGAGAGCAGCAATGCCCGCCAAGTGAGGCGTCGCCATCGACGTCCCCGACAGCTGAGACGCCTCCCCCCCTCGCCCGCCCCTCCCCCCTGCCTTCCCCGGGACTGTGCCGACCCATGCCGCCCAGAGGTCGACCCCTGGGCCGATGACGTCGGGCTTTAAGAGGCTGTTGGAGGCGTGGCCTGGGGGAGGGCGCGACCAGGGGCGGTGGAGGGGGCCGGAGGAGGAGAAGGCGGCTACCACTGGAGCGGCTGGAGCAGCGGCTGTGGCAGATGGGTCTGCTGCTGTGATGGATGGAGCATGCAGTGATGGTGACTCAGTGGTGCTGCTGCTGCTGCTGCTGCCGCTGCTGGTTGTGACGGTGTTTGTTGGGTCTTTCCCTACTGTGGTCACGGCTGCTGCAGTGCTTGGGTGTGTTTGGACTTGCTGCTGATTGTCAGTTTCTGCTTCACGGCTCCCGTATTCGACGTCTGGTGTGGGTGAGGTGGCGAGGGATACTCCTCCTCGTGTAATGGAGCTGGCATGGGGGATGGAGGGGGGGGGGAGGAGAGGAAGCGATGATGAGCGAGAGGCGAAGGGATGGGGCGGGAATGGGGGCGGCATGAGGGCGGCATGAGGGGGGCATGAGGGGGGCATGTGGGGGGCATGAGGGGGGCATGAGGGGGGCATGTGGGGGGCATGATGGGGGCATGATGGGGGCATGAGGGGGGCATAAGGGGGCATGAGGGAAAGGGGGCCGGAAGGGAAAGGGGGCGGCTGTAGTTGTGTTAGGATAGGAGATTGCATCAGTAGCTCTGTTGTGTGTGGTTTGCTGCCTTATCCTGTGTGTACCCTAGTGATATTAATACGACGGACCGTTTGAGAGAGAGAGAGAGGAAGAGGCCCACCTTGCCCCCACGGTGAGGTAGAAGGGTGAGAAGTTGCTAACGGTGCGGTATGTGCCCAGGGGGTTTGACAGAGGCGCCCCGTTGTTGCCCGCTGACATCACCACCGTTACCCCCGCCTGCAGGGACGGAGAGGAGAGGGGAGGGGAAGGATCTGGTGAGAGAGTTGCCCTCACAAAGTGACGGTTGCTGCCTGCTATGCTAACATGAGCACTAGTACCTTGGCCTGCTGTCATCAGATCAGAGTACGAAGGCAGAGCGAGATATGGAGAGCACATGCACGCCGTCCCTCACAGCCTGATTCATTCCCCATCCAACCCCCCACCCCCATGCTGTGGCGAGAGCCTTACGAGCTGTTACGAGCGCGTATGGGGAACAAACACCCCCATGCTGTGGCGAGAGCCTTACGAGCTGTTATGAGCGCGTATGGGGAACAAACACCCCCATGCTGTGGCGAGAGCCTTACGAGCTGTTACGAGCGCGTATGGGGAACAAACACCCCCATGCTGTGGCGAGAGCCTTACGAGCTGTTACGAGCGCGTATGGGGAACAAACACCCCCATGCTGTGGCGAGAGCCTTACGATGATCACAAGGCCTTGTACCTGCTTCCCTCCCCCCCTCTCCCCCCTTCCCCCATTTCCAGGCCAAAGCTTCCCCCCTGCCGCTGTGAGTCAACTCAAGTCAACGCACCAGATTCGCGTTCATGTATGCCACGTCATCAATATACGTGGCATCGGGGTCGTCGGCCGAGAGGGAGATGGACATCACATGCACGCCGTCCGCTACAGCCTGATTCACCGCCGCCAGAAGATCCGCAGACTCGCCGCCCAGAGCGCGCATCTCCGGGCGGTCGCCTTGGGAGTACCAGAAGACCTTGTAGGCCGCGAGGCGCGCTGCTGGCGCCATGCCGCTCGCCCTGCCGCCCGCCATGGCCACGCCGCTGTTGCCCGCTGCCGCGCTGGTAGAGACAAGGGGGTTGAGCGAGGTGGGGAGGGAAAGGGGGAGGGGGAGGGGGGAGTGGGGAGGTGGGGAGCGGGAGGAGGGGAGCAAGGAGGATGGAAGAGAATTATAAGAAATGGGAGAGAAGCAAATGAATGGGAGATGAGAATGCGAGATGAGCAAATTGAATGGGAGAGGAGAAAGCAAGGGGGAATGACCAAGAAAGGGATATTCTGCCGACTTACCCCGCACACCAGGTGCCGTGGCCGAATCCATCTCGCGGCGACAGCCAATCAGTACTAAGGTCCGGTTTCCCGTGCTTCGCCCGGAAGGCCGCGTTGAATATCCGCGCCCCGATGATTTTGTTGTTGCACCTGAAGTCTGACGTAGCATCGCACGATCCTGACCATCCGTTTGGCCGAATCGCGCTGAAATTCTTGTCGCTAAACGACGGATGCTCGGGCCAAATTCCAGAGTCTATAACCCCCACCACCATCCCTTCCCCCGCCCTCCGCTGCCCGCCAAGCGCGCGCCACACTCCCCCGCTTCCGCGGTTGGCGCGGTTGCGCGCGCCTGCGAGTTCCGCGAGCCCTAAGAACGCGGGGGAGTCGATGGTGTCGGGGCGGAGGGGGCGGCTGGGGCGCGCGGAGGCGACGGCAGGGTGGCGCGCGAGGCTGCGGAGTTGCGCGGGAGAGAGCAGCGCGGCGAAGCCATTTATGATGTGCTTGTAGCTGATAGGTGCGCGGAATGGAAGAGGGGAGGAGGAAGGAAATTGTTTTGGCAAGTTCACGCTTGTATTGTAGAGATAAGAGTGCTGTTGTGCTGCGGTGATGCTCTGTGTTCGCCGGCGGTTTAGGAAACGCGTGTGAATTACCATATTGATTACGCCGCATGCCCTCTTCGCCTTTTTGTTTAACTCTGCATATTATGTGCCTCACCTGTACGCGATATTATCCGCCGCGATACCGACTTCCGCGGCGACCTCTGCCTGCATCTGGGCCAGAAACTCCGCGTATGCGCGCACGTGGGAGGCGCGCATGCTCATCCGCGCCCGCCCAACCGCAAGATTTTCCGGAGGCTCCTTCAGACTGCTTGTATTCTCAAGCGTCAGATTCCCAGAACTGCTGTCTGCTTCACTTCGTGAATCTGCGGAGCCCGTCGTCGCGCCAACGGGCCGCCGCAACGTCGGCCATGAGTCGTACTCCCCGTCATCATCTGGATCGTCGACGCTGTTGGTAGTTACGATGGCGGGATATCCAGCGATTTCGCCGCGATATGCAGCGAGCGGGGGCGCGGAATGCAGGCGCACGATGTACATACTGGCGTCCGCGTCGCGAGATTCCCTGGGGGGATCGATTCGCCGGTCGTCAGATCCATGGGATCGCGTGGGCGTCGGTAGCTCTGCGAGGACCAGCATTGATGATACGAGGATGGCTAGAAAAGCCATTGCGCGGAGTCCGGCGCTGAATCCGGCGCTGAGTCCGGCAGATCTGCTAACGCAGCTCGCTCGCTACTACGTACAGTAATAGCGACGTCAGCTATCGTTTGTGCCAAGGATCCATGGCAAAGGTCAATGGCGGATGGGCTGGCAAAGCATCATGATAAGTGATACTCATGCCTACTTCTGTACTACAGGAGCACATGATATGCCGCATATAGCACGTGCGTGCACTGAGCTGTACTTTGCTGTCAGTGCTGTGTGGCATCGCTGGTGTCGCCTGGTGCTTGTGGTGTGGAGTGAGTGCGCTTGGGCGTGCGCTAGAGTGTGGCTGGATCTTGCTCTGCTCGAATTGAATGGAGAGAGGAATTCCAGGGCTTGTGCGAATGGGGGTGGCTCGGCGGTGGGGTGAAGTAAACGACGGCGCGCGAGAAATTCGAGAAAAAGGGGCGCTGTGGGGAGGCCGGCCCGCATATTTTATTGACGAGGTGAGCTTCGAGTTTCGTTATGCCTGTTACTAGGGTGGCGTAATTCGCTAATCGCGTTAACCACTCGTATGTAAACACCAGCAGCTAGATTGTGTGGCGAAAATCGCAGCTGCTCCAAACTTTTGGGTTGGGTTGGGAGAACTTGGGATGGGATGGGCGGCGAACTCCCCGCTAGTGGGTGATGGTGTCATGTGCGACACCGTCATCCGCTAATCGAATCGGACTTCGAGTGAACCGCGCTTTGTGGCGGCTCCACCCAGCATGGTTGCATGTCTTCCTGGCGCGATCTACACACTCATCTGTGTCATCAAGGTATAAGCAGCTCCGCTGGTCGGTGGGTGTACAGAATTTCTGTTGTATTCTAGTATATAGGCCAGAGTTTTACCATAAGTGCAGAAATGTCAAGGAAACCCTTTCTGCTATTCCAGCGTATACTGGTACACTTGGGCTGGGAAAATAGTATGAGCGAGAGAGGATGGGATGGGATGGGACAACGTGATATGTACAATACAGCCAGCTATTGTGTTAATGAAGCATCTACAAGCATGGCACCACGAAAAGGACCGCAGCCGCAGCTCCACCATTCAATGCAATGTATAAAATCAGAGGTAGACCTAAGGAACAGGGTGCATCCAATCGCACTACATAGAATAGCACTAGTGCCAGTACCCTCTCGCTCACAACTTAGTGGGTTGAATTGCTAGCACCATTCTCACCGCGTGACCTTTACCATCGGCCCATATTAGGCTTCCAAACTGAAAGTCCTCGGCAGTCTTAGTCGCCTTGAAGGTCACCGTGAAGGTAATCTTCCCATTCTTTGCGATTGTGAACTTGTTGGGCGAAACTGTCACATCCACCCCCTTAGGAGGCTTTATGGTAGCTGTGTATGTGCTCGACGAGTCGGCAACGTTTGCCACGGTCCTGGTAGCTGTCAGCCTCCCTTTCAAGCGCGAGATTGAGATGCTCGGCCGGTTCAACTCCCGGGGAGGAATCGCGCTCAGATTGGCACCCGGAAATTCCTTCTGTGCCCGCTTCATACTCTGCCCGGCAAGGAAATTCCTATACGCAGCTGCCCGAGCGTCAAACGTGAGCCCAGGATCCAGCACCTTGGCTGGAAACACCTGACCAGCGCCCATGTCCCAAGGAGTAGCAACCTCGCCATACGCAGTCTTGATAGCAGCACTAGAAGTGTCAGTGGTCTTGGCGGTGGTCATAATGGCGGACATGACCTGCGCGGGGCTCCACTTGGGGCGCTTCTGCATGATGAGAGCAGCAATGCCCGCCAAGTGAGGCGTCGCCATCGACGTCCCCGACAGCTGGGAATAAGTCCCCGGTTTCCCAACCTTCTCAGCGGGCCAAGCAGCATAGAGATCCACGCCTGGGCCGGCAATGTCGGGCTTTAAGATGCTGTTGGTGGGGAGAGCGCCGGTGACGTCGAAGGAAGGATCTGTGAGGGGGCCTGTGGAGGAGAATTCGGCGATGGATGGGTAGGCCGTGGCTGCTGGAGTGACTGAGGATGAGTTGCTGAGAGCTGCTGTTGCTCTTGTGGTGGCCTTGAGGGTTAGACCGCCTCGGCCTATGGTGCTGCGGGGAGGAAGAGGCAGGTGGGAGGAGGGAGAGTGACGAAGGAAATGTGAGTGAGCAGCGAGAAACAATGTAAGCCGGAGAGGTGGCACGGATGGGGGTCAAGCAGAGAGGTTAGAAGGGCAGAGAATCTGTCATTCCCAGCTGCTCCCCACAGGAAAAGAAGCTGTGTTTTGAGTCGTCTCAAAACCGAATCTGCCATAACCATTCCCACCTGGCCCCCACGGTGAGGTAGAACGGCGAGAAGTTGTCGAGTGTGCGGCCCGAGAAGGAGTTGTACGGGCCAGCATTGCCCGCCGCATACGACACAAACACCCCCGCGAGATTCGCCGCGAGATACGGCATGTGGGAGAAGTAGGTGTCCGTTGGATCGTTGCCGCCCAGTGAGAGCGAGAGCACATCCACACCGTCCGCCACCGCCTGGTTGACGGCCGCTTCGATGTCGGCGGATACAGCGAAGAGGGAGCCATCGGAGAACCAGAAGACCTTGTATATTGCCAGGCGCGCTGCTGGCGCCATGCCGCTCGCCTTGCCGCCCGCCATGGGCACATCCTTGTTGCCTGCCGCGGCACTGGAGATACGGGGGGATGGGACGGGGGGGAGGGATGGATTGAAGGATAGAGAGTGGGAGGAGTCACCCCACAATGACATGTCAAAGTCGTCCTCCACAATCGTCCTCCATAATCGTCCTCCACAATCGTCCTCCACAATCGTCCTCCACAATCGCCCTCCACAATCGTCCTCCACAATCGTCCTCCATAATCGGCTTCCATGAGCACGTCTTTGTTGCCCACTGCTGCACTGGAAGAGGGGGGGAGGGATGGGACACGGGGCGAGGAGAGAGAAGGGAGGCAGGGGTGGGGAGGTGGGAAGGGGGAGAGGAGATGAGAGAGGGATACGTGGAGGCAGGATGAGTCACCATAGTGGGCTGAGGCATCTCAGCCCAAGCCACTGAGCCTCTCAGGCATCTCGAAACCCATGCGGTGGGAGCCCAAGCCACGTACCCTGCACACCACGTGCCATGGCCGTACGAATCCCGAGGCGACAGCCAATCGGTCGTCAGGTCCGGCCCGCCATTGTCCGCCTTAAAGCCCTTGTAAAACGCCCGTGCGCCGACGAGCTTATTATTGCACTTGAACTCGCTCGTGGTGTCGCATTTCCCCGACCAGCCGGCGGGTTTCGAGGAGGAGAATCCCTTATCGCTGAAGGAGGGGTGTTCCGGCCAGATGCCCGTATCCACCACGCCTATCACCATGCCCTTCCCCGCGCTCGCCTGCCCGCCATTGGCGGGCCACAGCGACCCGGGGGCGCGCATGCCCAGGAAGGTGGGGGAGTCGATGGTGAGAGGGGTCACTCTGCGGCTGCGTGTCACTGCCGCCACCGCCGGGTGCCGCTGCAGCCGCCAAGCCTGCTGCGGGGAGAGGGCCGCTGCGAACCCGTTGCTCGCGTGCATGTAGCTGGGGGAGGGGGAAGCGGGGTGGGAGCGGGGGTGTGGGAGTGGGGGAGTGGTGCAGGGGAGCGGGAAGGGGGGAAAGTGGGGGGGGAGAGGAGAGAGGTTGAGTGGGAGTTGAGGGAAGGGATGGGAATGGAGAGGTCGAGAAGGGTTGTAGGCGGTGTAGGTGAGCGCTGCTGCAAGCTCTTAGTTTGCGTGCATGTAGCTGGGGGAGAGGAAGAGGGGGAAGGAGGAGTGGCAGCGAGTGGGGTGCACGATGGGTGAGGGGAAGGGATGGGTATGTGGGGGGAAGGAGGGTTTTAGGTGTGGTATGGGGGGTTTGGGAGCGGTGGGTGATGTGGGGAGCCATGGCATGGGGCTGAGAATGCACTGCTGCTGGAATTCCGCTGCTCAGAGAAACCTGGAACAAAGGCTCTAGAAAACGCGACGAGCTGCTAATTTCGGTCCCCGCAACGTACTTGTACACAATGCGGTCTGACTTCACGCCCACGTCAGACGCGACTCCGATTTGCTGCGTCTCGAGCATCTGCGCGTACGCCTTGAGCTGCGGGTTCTCCATGCTCAGCCGCGCGCGCCGCGGAATGCTGCCGGCCAACGTCGCCTCCTCGTGCGCTACCGTCGCCGCCGTCGCGCGCAGACCTGACGGACCAGTAGCATCGTCGCCGTCGTCCGTCCATCCCGAGAAGCTCGCGATTCCGCCGCGATACGCGGCGAGGGGAAGCGCGGAGCGAAGGCGCACGATATGTAGTGACGTGGATTTGGGGTTGGGCGCTGCGGTTGGCGCAGCAAGGATGTGTGGGGGGGCGGAGGGGGGAAGGTTGGAACGCGGAAGGGAACAACGGGAAAGGATATCAAGATACAGGAGAAGGCGGAACGAGGATTGTGGGACGAAGAGGAGTGGTCTTCAGAGATGAATGCGACCGGCTGACTCAAAGCTAGGTCAAAATCTGGGGTTAGGCACGAGATAAGAGGAACAAGAGACGTGGATTACCTCGTCGCACGGCGAGGGCGCATTGACACGTGGACGAGAGGAGAAGCGCGATGACGAGGAGGAATCTGCCGCGGCCCGTCATTATGGTCATTGTGGTAGTTGTGGTCATTGTGGCGTGTCAACTCGGAGCGGTAGCTGCGGGTGTCGATCTCGAGGCTGAGGAGTCCCGAAGACGCAGTTAGCGTATTGGAGGGTTCTTACAGGTAACGATATCGAACAAGTTTCTTCAGTTACTGATGAACGGTTTAGGTTGGCTGGCGAGCGACTGAAAGCGAAGGAGATTCAACAGTGACGAGCGAACGCGCAGAGAAGGCCAGAAAAGACACTTCGAAAGTTAGAAAGTGTGGGGTAAAGAAGAGAGGTGACGTGAGGCAATCGGCTGCGGGATGCAATTTGAACGATACGGATTCTGAATGTGGTGGGACAGAGTTGGTTTAGTTGGCAATGAAAGAGATGAACTGACATGATTTGCTCAACTGCCGAACGCGTTTCTTCTTTTACAGCATGACAGGCAGCTGGAGCAGCATTGAAACCCGGAAAGCAGTCGAGGCGCGAGGCGGCGTTCGAAGACCTTTCCTGGAATTCGCAAATCCTCGGTGAGAGGCGTTTGACTGAAGCGAACCCGCCTGGTAACTCTCGAAACCATCCAGCGGAGCTTCGCAGCCCGGCGTGGCGTGGCGCGTATCTCATGGAATGGGTTTGACCTGGTCTTTCCCTGGGGCGGAGAGGGGCGAGGACAATCTTGGATTGGTTGGAGGGGGGGTGAAGGGGGGAATGGGAGAAGGGGCGGGACGGGGGGGGGGGTAGGGGGAGGAAAAAGGGGGACTGGGTGCACGCGGATGCGGAAACCACGGCAGAACGAGCGGGAAATCTGTTTTGCCCAATGGCGGGGCACACAAAAGGGTATGCGATTGTTTGTTGTAAGAAGGAGCGGGTTGGTCCGGGACCTGTGATGTCACCTGTGGTGGTCGGTGGTGGAGAAAGACAACTGGTTCGAAGGGAAGTCGGAGCGTGGGACCAACAACAAACCCTGAACATGTGGGTCGTACAGAACTTGGTGGGAAAAAAAAGTTCGTTCAGAAATATCGGGTGGCAAAAGTGCTTCCCTACATCATGACGAGGCATGGTATCTCCCACCCTCCCACCACTTTCCTCCTCCCCTCCCCTCCCCTTCCCTCTCAGACTTCGGGTTTTGAGTTGAGCACGCACTGTTACTGATCATATTTTCTCCCCACGCATCTACAAGGCTTCTGGCGCACTGTTACTGCCCAGTTTTAGCTCACAACGCAGAATTAGCTCCTTTCGACGCAGTCTTGCTTTCATTGGTCTTAGAATTGACGCGCCGATAACTCTGATTTGGTTGGCGGCCACAGAACCGTCAAATGAAAGAATTTCGGGCATAAAAACATAAAACCCTAAACACCGGGAGACATCAACCCTAAACACCGGGAGACAAGGTGTTTAGGATTGATGCCATTCCCAACGAGTTTTTTTTTTCGATGGCTTGTCTCAATAGAGCATCAACCCTAAACACCATTCGGAAGGTGTTTAGGGTTGATACCTTTTTTAAAGGGGTATATAAAAGTTTTAGCACTAAAAACAAATATAAGTAGTTAATGTTTTCTGTTACAGTATCCACAAGTTCGGTTTGTAGTTATGTGCCATGTGTGGACCAATGAAATCAAAACTGTGTTGAAAGGAGCTAACTCTGCGTTGTGAGCGAAAATAGAGCGGCCAATATCATACATACTCAAAGTATGCCAAAAAACGCTTGCAGGTGTAATCAGGCCAACAGTAATCCGAACAGTGGCACTGTTCCCAGCAGAAATCTGTCTTGGCGCGCCACCCGCAGCTTCACCAGTTGACCCACGTTGCTTCTGTACAGTGAAGGCACCACAGTGCATGCATGTCAGAAGCGAATCCCACACCACACACGCATCTGTCCACAAATCGAGCCCCCCAACCCAAACCAAAGCGGCAGCCTCCCCCACCTCCTACCCCTAACCCCCCAAACCGAACCTGCGGGTACCCAATGGTACTCGTTGTGGAACTCTCTCCCGCCAAGTCCCTTGTTCTCGATTGGGATTACCGTGACAAACAGAAGCCGCAGAAACAAAACTACAACGACCATGGAAACGCACACACATATGTTTCACATATGTGTAAGAAACATTGTCATGTTGAGATAGGGAGAAAGAGATATTTATAAGTTGTATATATTATTCAGTATACTTTAGGATACACATATGTACATGCTCCTGAAAACATTTATCGACTATTGAAATGAGACCGCCGGGGTGCTGACATCGCTGTTGCGGTATTCATCTGCGAATAAATGGTAAATGCTCAATGTCGCATTGCATTTCGTTCCTTGATATACAGCTTAGCATTCCGCCTAATTATTTAGTGTCTTCCGTGGTATAAGATAAACTCGTGCCAAAATTCTATGTGAACACAAGTGGTAGCAAAAACATTGCTAGAACGCTACGATCATCTACACAACCATCTGCCTTTCTCCGTAGGGTGACTTTTAGTTGGGGGGGGGGGGGGGGGGGGGAGAGAGAGAGAGAGAGAGAGAGAGAGAGAGAGAGAGAGAGGGGAGGGAGAGAGAGAGAGAGGGGGGGGGGGGGGGGGAGAGAGAGAGAATATGAATGAGAGAGAAAGAAATAAAGAAAAACCAAAATAGGTTAGTGTAGCAAAGCACCGTTGGGGATTTTTATTATTACCAAATACAATAGGGGTTCGAGTAGGTCAGGTAATTCACAGACGTACCTTACAAATAAATCCTTCTCGCTTCAGCAGCTAATGTACTTTGTACGTTGGAATTGTATGCGTCAACTTAACAAGGTTTTTGGTGTAAAAGGCTACAGAAACAAAAACATTAAATTACTGGGCCAGTGTCTTGATGCCGTCAAGCATACACTAAAGTGTGTCACCTGCCAAAATAAGGTACGCAGGTTGAGCAATAATAGAAACATGGGTTAAGCACATGATATGAAGAGGTGAGTCCTGCGAAGAGAGAGAGCGAGCGAGAGTCAGCAAGAGATAGGGGGAGACAGCATGAGGTGCGGCACGATACCTGCCCTGACGTGATGCTCTACTGATTCCCTGTGTCGAGCGCCTGGTTAGCATTGACTCTCGCCTCAGTTGACGTTGATAGCGCTGCTGCTGGTATGCAAGGCCTGCATCCTGAAAGTGCCCTGATTCCCACGATTGAAGTGGAATCTGCTGTTGCATCAATGGCTGCTGTTGCTGTTGCATCCCTGGCTGCTGCTGATGTTGCATCAGTGGCTGCTGCTGATGTTGCATCAGTGGCTGCTGCTGCTCCATCAGTGGCTGCTGCTGCTGCATTAGTGGCTCCTGCTGCTGCTGCATCAGTGGCTGCTGCTGCTGCATCAGTGGCTGCTGCTGCTGCATCAGTGGCTGCTGCTGCATCAGTGGCTGCTGTTGCTGTTGCATCAGTGGCTGCTGCTGCTGCTGCATCAGTGGCTGCTGTTGCTGTTGCATCAGTGGCTGCTGCTGCTGCTGCATCAGTGGGTGCTGCTGCTGCTACATCTGTAGCTGTTGCTGCTGCTGCATCACTGGCTGCTGGCGCTGCTGCATAAGTGGCTGTTGCTGCTGCTGCATCATTGGCTGCTGACGCTGCTGCATCAGTGGCTGTTGCTGCTGCTGCATCACTGGCTGCTGGCGCTGCTGCATAAGTGGCTGTTGCCCCTGCTGCATCACTGGCTGCTGGTGCTGCATCAGTGGCTGCTGCTGCATCAATGGCTGCTGTTGCTGTTGCACCAGTGGCTGCTGCTGCTGCTCCTGCATCATCAGCTGCTGTTGCAACTGCAACACCTGTTGTTGCAGCTGCTTGATCAACAGTGTTGCATCAGGCTGCTGGTGAACCATAGGATCCTGTCCCCTTGATCTCCCATTTGCTCGACCACCTTGACGTGGACGCTGAGCTTGATTTTGTCTCCTCCTAACCCTTCGACCACTAGGCTGTGTGCGTCCTTGCCCAAGATCGGAGTCCTCATTCTCCTCAGCCCCTCCCCCTTCCTCCTCACCTTCCTCGGGGACCACCTCAACCTGTAACCTGAACCTCTGTCTTAGTCTTAGCTGTCGCGTTGCAACTGGCTGGTCTTGCACACGAACATGTGACCAGAATGGTGCCATTGGATTTGAGGTCTGATGGGGGCTTCCATCCATCGGCTGCGCGTCACCAACACCTTGGGTGATATAGTCTGTTGTGAGTGCATGGCTGTCTGAAATTACTTGACCATCATTGTGCATGCTCAGATCCTCCCCCACCAATGCACCTCTATTTGTGGCCGCGCTAGCAATGCGGGAGATGTTGACAGTTGTGTTCGGATTGGGACCAGGTACTTGCATGCCCGTCTCGTTCGCGGACGGCACCTCGTCAGAGGTACCGTATGGACCCTCTACTGCAGCCGTGCATCTCCCAGTGTAAGGACCTCTAAGGTCACTCCCTGTTCCCTACCATTGGTGCTATCAAGCTGCAACTCCCCTTCTTCAACATCTGATTCATCACAATCACACTCATCATCAGATGAGCCTTCTTCCTCGTCAACGCCAACCTCATATGCCAGCATTGGAGCATCACCATGTGTTCCCGCATTTCCTTCCGTGTCCACACCTCCTATGACCATTGCACCAGGCCCCTGATGCTCGTCCACCATTTCCGTATTTTCCTCCTCTTCTTCATGGCTACATGTCTCTTCGTTAGCACCTTCAAGGTCCTCAATCTCAACCACCCACTCAGCAGGTGGGGTCGAACCACGGACACCGTGTGGCCTATCCACATTCTGCCGCATCAAATTTCCGAAGGGCAGTCCCACTCTTCCCGGCAGCTGCCCACTTCCCTGCTGCTGCCCACTTCCCTGTTGCTGCCCTCTTCCCTGCTGCTGCCCACGTCCCTGCCGCTGCCCACTTCCCTGCTGCTGCCCACTTACTTGCTGCTGACCATGTCCCTGCTGCTGTCGTCGACGGCAATCGTCTCTGAACCTGTGTTGACACCCACATGCCGTGCATGCAATGTACGTTCCACCGACCCGTGGAACTACACTTGTTTGCAAGGCAATGTGGTCCTGAACCGACCTTTGT